ACCAGTTTCGTGGATGAACATATTAGTTGCCCACCTTCACAAGGCCGGGTGACTGACGAGTGGGAGGGCCTCGTGGGCGTCGAATTAATTAGTGCATCCCCCCTAAAACTGGTTGGCAAACGAGTGAGCTGAATGACAGGCTGGTGCTTGAGATGGCGTAAAGCTTGGTACGCGGGAGGGACAGAGGAGCGCAGTGCATGCGTACACGACTCCCGCTTCTCACTGAAAACCCGGCCTGCGGCTAGGTCGGCCTCCCTTCCTCGGGAGTGGGAGTGAAACCGGTTATCATGAACGAGGTTCATGGGTCGAAATGTTAGTTATCGGGAGAGAAGAGCTGCACTAACTAGACGATGACTAGCCTGGCTCGGCTTGTTTTCGTGTGCGCGTGTTGGTTCTCGACACAACTATCGAAGTCCTGTCGCGTACTATGTGTGTAACTAGCGTAATGTTGCCGAGGTTGGACGTTCTCTCACTTGTTTGCTGCGCAACAATGGCGCGGGCACCCACGACGAATTAACGTTGTTGTTGGCGGAAGCTTGGCCTTTTTTTTTTCTGCCACATCTCTGGGCTTTTGCTTGGGTTTGCTTGGGGCTGCTTGGGCCCTCGGCATCGCTCAATGGGTGTTGTCGCGTGCGGCCAATGACAGGCGAAACCGTCCCTCGGGTCAACCCCCCGAACGGGCGAAGCGTTCGCTTGCGATTGCAGGGTTTCCGTTGTCCAGCCAAGCAGCGTGCAAAGGCGGTCAATGGCTTGCTTCATACCCTGAGCCAAAATCTCCAACAAAACAGAAAAGCCTCCTATGTAATGTCTCTGTTTCGGTCTCTGTCGGTGTTGTTGCTGGTGATGGCTGTTCCGGCGATTCTGGGAGGCTGAAGAACGAGCAGTGCCCCCGCAAGCTCATCGTCTGAAAAGACCTTGTCTGTCTCACAAAAACGTCGATCGTTCAGCGCGGTCCGTGACAGCCATGCAACGGTGCGGGTGATTCGCCGCCTGGTTCTCAGGGATCAACACCACAACCACCAGCTGAGGGCGCTTACGGTTGGATCGCCCAGCCTGTGGAAACACCCGATCCAACATCGAGCAGGCAGCAGATGTCACACATGATCTCAGGACCTCAAACGGTTGGAGCTCTGTTGATGGTGGTTGATGAGGAGCTTCGTTTGATGCCCTCTTTTGCCACCGAGACTTTACAAGTCGTTGGCTGTTGGGAGTTGAACAAACATACATAGTCGTGACACCGTCCCCGAATCTCGGAGGAAGTGCCCGGGTCAACGATACCCGACCGGGGGTCTGACCCCCATGTTGTAAAAAAAAAGCGACCCCCACTACGAAGTACCCAAAGACGTTGGGGGAGTTCGCGGTGATCAAAACTGCGATATGTACGGCCGAGGAGTTGACCCCGTGTGGTTGAATTCCAAGATGCTCACAATGCATGGCATAATCTCCGAAACAAACGTTTTGCCCATGGCAGTAGTGTACAATGCCGTGTTTCGGTGGTTCAATGTCTCGGTGTCGCTCAAACCCACAAGATCGGAGTTTTTAGTGTGAGGCGGTTCCTTGTGATTCTTTGATACCAAGACGGAGCAACTGCTCAAATCTCCGCCATGCGGCCACCGCCCGTGCCCTGGGCGAGTTCAGGCGAAAGACGACGGACTGCTTTACAATGTATGCCAAATCGGAGCTAATGAAGCCCCTGACGTGGCGAAGATAACGAAGCGCCCTGATGAACACAAGGGACCCCTTCTGTTTTTTTTCCTGGCACATGTGTCGACTTTAGATTCTAGATTTGAGCCATGTGTCGCTGTTGAAAGGGGAGAAGGCTTGGATGGGTCTCCCCGGCGTCGGCGCACAGCGAATATCCACTTCCAGATTCCGATTCTCGGCTCGCACCCCGAACTGCCGGCTATTGCCCGAGAGTACAACGTTCGTTTACGACGCGAGGAATTCAAGATCGAAACTGTTGATTGAAGACGATTTTGAAAAGGCTTCCGGCCCTCGACATGTATTCTCTTGAGGCGTTAGAGACCCTCTTTTCGGTGGTATAAAAAGATCGAAGCTTGATCGCCCCGGGGGACACCGGGATCCTCGGTCAGATCGGCCATGGCCGCAGTGATATTTTCGCCCCTGGCCGATTCCAAATTTTTGGGGCTGATAAGCAATCACGAAATTCACTCCATCGTCGAAGCTTTTGTGGAAACCTTCATCGAAGCATTGGGTGGAGTCCGATTGGGCCTCTGCATCGCCGGCAACGGCAGTGGCTTCTGATGAACGGCAGCCTGTTGGGAGACGACGGTGGGTTTCGTTTGACGGAGATTGCGCTCTTGTCGAGGGGTTCGTCGCTCGCACGAGATCCCGACTCCATTCTGCCGCCATGGCGGTTGCGCTGTCAGCCAAGCTCCCGGCAGGCTCCGAGAGACCCCCGAGGAGAAGCAGCGTGTCAAAGCTCGTTCTCTCCGTCGCTTCTCGGGTCCCGCGGGCGATGAGAGATTTCAGGATTACCGGACCATCTTGCACTTGAAAGATTGCGACACTGATTGCTGATTGCCGGCATAGCGAAGCATCCAGGGCCGCACCAGTTCGTGACAAGGAGGTGAGGCCAGGCCGGCAGAGTCGATCAAGGGCGATGCGTCAAAATGAAGTGCGCTCCCGAGCCTCATGAGGCAAGTCGTGGAAAATGCTTCGGTGATGGTTACCCTCTTTTGCTGGCCCTGCATCTTGTCGATGCGGGCGTGTCCGAAGCCTTGGCCCTTCGTTGCAAGGGACGTGTAAAAGCCACACCCCCAAAAATACATCCCCCATGACACCCGATATACAGAAACGTCGGTGTGTGATTTGGAAGCGTGGACCCCCACCTTACGCACATCCAACGACCATGGCGTTGTTTCGCGTGCTTCCCATGCCGTCTATTTACCCCCGAAGTGTCGAACTTGGAGCATTCTTTCGATTTTTTAGCAGGCTGCTGTTTCCCGCGCTCCGCGGGCGACGAAATGAGAAAGGAGTTTTGCATCTAGAAGAGTAGGGGAAGAGGGGCTAGGACACGCGGGCTGGTGCGGAGAGGGCAAGTCGTTGCAAAGATCGCCATCTTCAAATCCCCTAACTGTGTTCTGGGCAAGGTCACGCTCGTCCGATAACTGTGAGGGGCCGCTGGTCGCTGAAGCGAAGACCCTTGTGGGCTCTTCATACCCCATCGGGTGGGGCGCATTTCTGACCTAAACTGAGAATGCCGATACGATACCGAGGTTACGCAGAACGATATCGATACGATGTACTGTAGGCTTCAGAAAGTTAGGAAACCATGGGAGGGAATGAGTTTGGGCCTGCTTGTCTATCGGAATGAGGCCGGAAACAATCAACACTGAAAAGCAATGCTCGAGCCGAAGAGCTAAAACGGCATTTCCCCGAGTGTTCGTTCGACTCGAAGAGGGGAACAAGATTCGTCGATGGGTTTGATGAAGGAAGGGAGAGGGGCAAAGCCGCTAAATGATCCACAGCCAGGACTCGTCCAATGAGAAGGGTTGCACTTTCTTTCCCCAGGTTCCACGCAGCCACGCTGAGGCAAGATCCCGGCTGAGCCCGGGCATCGAACCTGCCCATCAGCTTTTCCTCTGTGCTTCGAAGTCGTGGGTCCCCACCTTTGTGAACTCCACTTTTCCTCTGCGGCGGAGGAATCGCTTCGGATGATGGAATCCGCCGCAAAATCTCGTGCTGCCTTTCCTCTTCGCGCAGCACTCCAGCAATTCCCTGCAATCGGCCACAGTCTCAATTTTTTTCTTGTCCCTGGTGTGCGCAAGGATACCGATGTTCTGGCGTCGTTACAGGGGCAGTTTTTAACTCTCTTCAAGCAGACCCGCGAAATTTTCGGCGCCTCTCTTTTCGTCTCAAGCGAAGCCCAGCGTTTATGGCATGGCTTCACCCGAAATCGCTTCCTCTCGTGCAGGTCCATAGAATCCACCCGGTATCAAGGACAAGAATTGAATCGCTCCGGGCTTTCCTGCCCTCGCCTTATCGCTCCTGCTCTCCGCGAATGTTCCTGGGCCTCGGTGCGACATTTCAGAAAGCTCTTAACATACGGATACACAGTCCTGCTGGGTGAAACTTTGGCTGCAGTGCTGACAAGCCTTGAGTCCGTCAGCCTGTCGCTCTGTTCCCCGAAGTCGAGTCGAACGGTCAAGAGAAATCGCATCTCATCAGCAATCCCGTCCCGCCCCTGGTGCGCCTCCCACGGCGGCCCCGGTCGAGTGGGAGGTGGCCAGGGTTTGCGCCGATGGAGGGTGTGGTGTGTGGGCCGAGTGAACCTGGAAAACCCCCCATCCCCTGCCCTGTAACCCTCCCATCACCTGTCGCCCGCTCAAATTCCCGATTCCCAGCCGTTGCACCAGTCAAGGGCCGCCTCCGCCCCCGCGAGCCAGTGGGCGAGAGGGGTACCGAGGGAATGTACTTGTGGTACCTCGTTGTACTGCGGTACTGAGGTACCAGCCCGTCCCTTGCCCACTAAAAATGGGGGGCCTTGCTGGGGGACTGGGGGACATGGGCCGAAGACGCTCGCGCACACTGCGCTAACTTGGTAGCGTCCAGAAACGCCCCATTTCAAAACACAAGCCCTTCCCACCCACATAGCCTTGCCGAAGCCCATGTTCCAAGCTTCTCTTTACCTTCCCTTTTCTCTCCCCCCCTACGAACTATCGTGACTCGTGCCCATTGTTTTGGGACCGGAGTCCTTACATATTGACTTACAACTCGCACACAGCACTCCACTGTTGTCCATTGGAGGTCGGGTCTTGCTTGGAACAGCATATCACTCACTTTTCGCCCACCTTGTCTGGATTCCTAAGTATCGGATCCACTCTCACGCGACGAGACACCGGCTTCCGAACGACGAATAGCCTCCCTGTACTCGGCCAACTCGACGACGATACAGCAGGACCGAACGTGGCGCAGACGGAGGACTAGATCTCACCGCCAACTTTTATTTCCAGTCTTTCGCTTGAGCGGTCTCCAAGATGACTGCTCCCATGAACACCCCGGCGCCGGCCGTGGCCAAGGACGCCGCATCGGCGAGGAAGCGCCGGAGAAGGGCCCCCGCCGGCGGGGCCGCGGATGACTGCTTCACTTGCGCCAAGCGGAATGTCAAATGCGACAGGAGGAGGCCGTACTGCTCACAGTGCTTGGAAATTGGCAACGAGTGCTCCGGCTACAAGACCCAACTAACATGGGGCGTCGGTGTGGCCAGCCGTGGCAAACTACGCGGCTTGTCGCTGCCCATCGCGAAAGCACCCCCCGTCAGCTCCGCCAAGACGGTCAAGTCACCATCGACAGTGCGTGCCCGAACGGGCTCTGTGAACTCGACAGGGCAATGGCCAGCAGAGCAGGATGAGCGGGCGGTCCGGGAAGAGACGGAAGTCAAGATGGAGTTGGATCACAGGAGGAATCCTTCGGTACCGATGACGACGACTCACTTCCCCCCTCCCTACGACATGTCGCAACACCTCTCTCCAACCGACGCAGCGCCACCACCCGGCTGGACTCACATCCCTTTCTCGTCGAGCATGTCCCCGACTGACGCATCGAGATTCCAACCACGGCCGCTGCACATTCCTGTGTCCCCAGTCGGGGATATGATGCAGCGGGATATGATCCAAACGCCCATGGACTCGATCAGCGAGGTGGATTACATGTCGCCCATTGCTCACTCTTATCCGCGGGAGGACGTCCCTGGCTTTATCCACAGCCCAATGGGTTATGAAGGGTTTCCTACGCATGCTTCGCCGGGAGCCCAAAGCCCTGTGGCCGTGGCCGCCATGATGATTGAGCAAACACGGGCACCCGCGCCATGTCCCAGCTTAGTCTATGCCCCTTCCGAACCGGCCTCGAGTCTTCACCCCCACCTTTCCCACATGGACAACATGGAAATGCAGCTGAGCCGCAAGATGCCCCACGAATGTGAGGTTTTGGGTGAGTTATACATACGCACGCACGCCCACTATAACGGCCAACATGGTGTTTTATCCTCCGTGAAATAAGCTTGCTAACCTGGAACTGTGAATAGTGCCTGGCACTCCCGACTTGGACACATATAGCTCGAGCGCCCAGTCGCATGGTCCGTTTTGGGCCTCTTCGTGCGGGGATGATGAATCCGTCTCACAAAGCGTCCCCGATCGGCACTCTGCGCCGTGGCCCGCATCCTTCCCATCACAGTCCCCGTCGCCTGTCTTGCAGGTCAGCCCGGACCTCATCACCAAGATGCCCTTCTTCATGGACTACTACGAAAAGACCATCTGCCCCAACATGGTCTTCATTGACGGGCCCAACAACCCGTTCCGGGAACAGATTCTCCGCCTCGGTACCAGCAGCAGGAGCTTGCAACACGCCATCTGCGCGCTCGCCGCGTGCAATCTGAGGATGAAGAGGAGGCTGAGCCGTGGCCACCACGGCCGGGATGCTGGGGAGCGGCAGCTGGACATGAGCCCGATTGATAGCGGATCCGATGTGCAGCCCACCGACCAGTCTCTGGCCGAGGAGTACCAGCACCGCAATCTGGCTGTCCGCCTACTGAATGAGCAACTCAACGACGCCGACAAGTCGACGCACGATTCCGTTCTGGCCACGATCCTGTTGCTATGCCACTACCGCATGGCCGAGTCCGGTGTGGCCAAGTTCCAGACGCAGTTTGCGGGCGTGAAGAAGATCCTGGGCTTGCGGCGGATGTCGCCTTACCCGCCATCACGGGATTCCGCGTGGATGGAGGCGCTCTTTATGTATTTTGACTCGGTGGCTGCGAGCATCAACGACAGGGAACCACAACTCAACACAGCCTTTTACGGGGTCTCGCCAGATACGCAATTATTACCCGCGGGCTCTGAAAATCTCGTTGGCTGTGACCGCGAGCTTTTCAAGACGATCAGCAAGCTCGGCCGGCTCAACCTCCTCTCCCAGCATCGCCCCGTACAACAACTCATCACATCCCCTTCGCTACCTCGGATCTCCGCTTCCGCTCGACCAACTTCCCCTCTCGGCTCACAATTCAAGCCCCCATCCCTCCTCAACGGACAGGACCACCATCACCAACACCACCACCACCAAAGCATCTTCGGCGGGGCCCCCCACCCCATCAACAGCAGCGTACGATTCGACGGCAACGGCTACGCCGCGCCCAACCTCGAAGACGACGACGTACTCGGCGCCGGCTCAGTCCCGCAGCAGCAGCAGCAGCAGCAGCAAGTCCAGTCCCCAACGGCCTACGACGACCCACGCAGCGTCTTCTGGCGCGAATGGAAAGAAGCGCGCCAGGCCCTACAAACCTACGAATTCGACAACGCCCGCGTCCGCGCCTCCCTAACCACCCCACCACAACCCTCCGCCTCTTCTGCAACCTCCCCCGTAGGCTCCATGTCCTCCTCCCTCCCACCAGTGCAACCCACCGGCAGCCAAATCCGCGACCTCGGCTCCCTCAGCGAAGCCTTCCGCTACGCGGCCCTGCTTTACACCGAGCGCCTCGCCAGCCCGAACGTCCCCTCCAACCACAACAACTTCCGCAACCTGGTCAGCCAAGTCGTCTACTACGCCACCAGCCTCGAGGCCGGCAGTGCCGCGGAGAAGTTCTTGCTCTGGCCGCTGTTCGTCGCTGGCAGTGAGTGTGTCAACGAACTGCAGCAGGGGATCGTCCGGTCCAAGTGCCGTGAGATTATGGCGCGTAGCGGGTACATGAATAACCTGGCCGCGTTGGAGGTGTTGGAGCGGTTGTGGGCTGGGGAAGGGGGTGTGCAGCAGCAAGGGGCGGGTAGTCATCATCATCCTCAGAATAGGATGGGAGGGAATGGACGGGGTGGGCCGTTCAACTGGGCTCAGTGTATCGGTGGGCCGGGAGTGGAAGTGGAGTGGATCATCTTTTGAGTTTATTTCGTCTTCTGTTTTCTTTCTTCTCTTATAAATTTCCCTTTTTTTCTTGGTGTGTTTACGGGGGGTTACATATACAAACGACATGACGAGTGTACAAGCAAAGCAGACAGGCAGGCGGTTGTTTCTTTACGGTGTCTGTTTGTTACGTTGCCACTTGGAGCGGGTTTTCTCCCTATCTCGATTTTTATTTTACGTTTTTCTTTGGATCATAACCCAGCCTAGCAGCTGCCGACGGACGACTTTCCTTCTGTGTTTTCCATATTTCCCCCAACCCAATTGTATATTATATCATCAACACACACACAAGCGCGCGCATACCCTGGATGGTTCGGCTTCTATCTATCTATCTATCTTCCTTCAACCGGAATGAATGCATGTATCTTGGGCGCTGAGGCTTTTGTGTCTATCTTTGCCTTTACTGAACACGACTTGCAGGGGCAACTGTGCGCGACATAAGACAAGGAAGGACAGGACAGAAAAGGAAAAATACAAAACGAGGCAAAAAAGCAAGCCCTTGATTCCACCAAAGCGTTCCAGTTGACATTACATTGCCTGTGATACCATCCATCCCCCGTCCCCGTCGCCATCGTCCCCATCGTCCCCCTTGTAGTCCGGTGAGTGAAACGAAAGTGGAAGGGAAGCCCTTCACTCAATAAAAAAGTGACAAGGCTTGCTACCATGCATCGTTTCCCCGGGTTTTACGAATTAGCTTAATTTTTTTAGCAACACCCGATTACTTTGACGCCCCTGTGTGGGGTTAACCCGTTCCCAGCCGAGCTGGGGTATCTGGTGGAGGTTTGGTGAGGTGGTCTGTGTGATTTCTCTCCAACAACCCAACGTGCCAACTCAATTCCCATCTGAGATCTGAGCGGCCTGTTCATTGATGACCATATTGCCTTAGTAGTGTACATTAGAGTTCTTCATTGAAAGTACAGAGTAATCACCATCCCTGGCCCTTGGCTGACCCGCGAGATCCCGGCTTACCAGTACCATGGCCTTCGCTGGCCCCCTGGTTGATACTCGGCCGGGGTTGGGTTTAGGGTAGTGAGCTCGAGTTCGGTTTTGTCTAGGCTGGTCGTGGAACACGGAAAGCCCATACTAGAACGGTGTTTCTGATCTAACACAACATTAACAAGACAGACAGCCATGTGCCGGATCTCAGTTCACGTTGGTTGGTTTCTAATCACGTCTCGGAGGAAAGGGGGAGAAACTGAAAGCGGGCACGGACACGGCACGGGCAGTAATCGCTGTTATCGGCTTTCTCCGTCCAGCGGTGCATATCAAACATCCTGGGGGGGTTGATGAGGCTTTGGCGATGGGTTTCTCAACACTACACGGGATGTACATGGCCGATGTACACGGCTGTACCTCCCCAGCATGCTCACGACCAACACACACATCCATGACTTACTTACCAAGCAGGCCGACATATCCCCAGGGGCGGACAAGATATCAAGGAACATTGCATGCGTGTTCCGTACGTCCAACACGCCCTCCCGCACGCACGCCCGCCCGCAACTCGCTTCAAACGCAGTTATAGCAGCAGGGGGTTTCCCGACATATGCGGAGAAGCGAAGAACTCCTTTTCTTCCCTGCTGACCCTGACTTACCCGACACGACCCGACCCTCTCTCGCTCGAGCGTTGATTACCGGGTTGAAGTTTTCGGGAGGTGGGGAACTCTTGGCCAGGGAAGGGAAGCCGTTTGTGTCTGGTCGTCTTGGATCTTCTCCTCACTTGGAGACAAATGGAGACAACCCTCCCCCAAGTACTGTACATCCGTGACTTGACTTAGGTACATACAGGGTGGACAAGGTGCGGTCAAGATCGGACAGCCGTTGGCTTGCTGAGGGACCTTACCCCTGGTTGGCGTTGCTTTGCAGAATGGTTCTGTGCACATCTTGCATTGCGTGCAGGAGATGACTGAGGATTGATACACCGAAAAGACAACACTCTTTTTGTGAGCTTCCCGAAACGCACTGCTGAACCCGAGTCCACGGCTGGGCCGGTTGAGACGGCAGTTATCTCTCTCCCTTCGCTTCCCCTTTCTCTTGCCCTTCTTTCCCCGTCCTGGAAATGGAGGCGAACGGTGGAGAAGAAGAAGAAGGAGACGATCCATGCTCGCCACACGGAGAGTCTCTCCACCAAGCGATGTGTGATCGCCTCTTGTTTGAAGAAAACGTTGAGGGTGGAGAGACCAGACCAACCATGCCGTGGGCCGTGGCCCGTGGCCCGTGGCCCGTGATGTCTCATCAAACAAACACGAACTCGATGGGTAATTCTCCACCTTGGTTCTTCAAGTACCGATGAAACTGGGGCGGCCTGCGACGTTGGTCCACGGGCTGGCGGCAAGCGAGGTTTGCAGGACCATGTGGATGTCAACAGCAGCAAGCGAAGCGTCTTTTTTTCTTTCCCTTCATATCTTGCACCTCTTTCACTTCATGATTGCGGTCCAGACTGCTGGACGTATCAAATCATATCGTGTTTAGGAAGAACGTGACAGTGAACGACAGTAAGAAAGGGGTATGGCAACCCCAACGGTAACGCTCGACAAGGCAGTCCCGTCATGACACCCCCAAACCCCCCAACGACACTGAGATAAGACACCATCGTCAACCCTTTCGACCATGCGGCGTTCATCTTGGCGACTAGCCCTTGACCCCAACGTGGACTGGAACAGATGGGGAAAAGATCATCTTCTTGAAGACTTCTAGAAGGTGAAGCTCATTGCGAGTGAGGCTGTGCAACAGGATGTTACACATCCTGCTCTTGTTGTCATTCTCCTGCCCCCTCTTTCTCTCCGTCCTAGTAGTAACAAGAAAAAATTTCTTGTCGTTCGCTTGTCTGTCCCCTTCCCCTGCTGCTGCTGCCGTCTCCCACCCCTGTCATGATCGGAGCGGGATGTCGCTCGACTAGGCAAGTCGTTACCAGTCGGGCGGTGAAGGGGGGATGGTGGTGGGTGGAGGAATCAGGCACGCGCATCAATGAGACAGTTGGAGATATGAGAGGGGAAATGAGTGGTGAGAGAAGAGAGGGGGCGGGATTTGAGAGAAGCTAACGCATCTCGCATGCCCCCCAAGAGAGATATGCAATGCATCTCAAGTCAGGTTCGGCTTGGGCTGGCTCGCCGTTGCCTAGGGCGGAGAGACAACACGCTGCTGCTGCTCGGACATGAGCCGATTCTGACGAGGGGACGAGGGGCCGCGCTAGGCTCGAGAAGGAAGGAAATCGGGTGTTGGGGAAGTTTTTGGCTGTCAAACCAGGATGGGAGAAGAAGAAAAAGAGGCACGAGAGACGGAAAGGAGAAACACGAAAACGCGGGGTTGACATCGCTTGGCTGCGGACCGCGATGCGTGGCTTGCGTCGTTCAAGCTGGGGGCGTGTGGTTTGTGTCGGCTTCGGGCTCCGCGGGATTGTGGCCGCACTGGGGCGCCGCTCCGGCCAATGGCAAGCCTGGGAAGTAATCACAATATGATCACGTGAAATCGACCCAAAGTGCTGTAATCACCACAAACCTCTCCCAGCAAGAGCAGGCTAGAATCGATGATATCCGCATTGGCCGTGGGATTTGAGGTTGTGGTGGCGATGACGAAAGACGAGAAAAGTTCAAGTTCTCGCCTGTCACTGCCCTCGAACTATTTTGCTTTAGCATTACCCCATAGGCAGTGCAACAGCATCTAGAATTCACCGAGTGCAAAGCAAAGTCGCCTGAACAGCGAGTAAGCCTCTCAATGGTCTGAGGTGAGCAGTATCGGAGCGCCGTTTGGACAATCGTCTAGCACAGGCAGTGGCGAGCCTATGATATTGACCGAGGAAACGTTGTAGACTTCAATACGAGTTTCTTTCCCTGGTTAAAATAGTTGTGAATCAATTCCCGAACCTGGTAGACCGTATTCTCCTCTCTTCAACTGTATGAACTGAGACAACGTTATCGGGCCGTAAACATCGACCTAATGTAAGATAATTCCAGTCCTGCCATTATTGATGTTTGGCTTATGAATACCAGTTGTTTACGATTCAGAATTAGGTTTTCTTGTCCACAAGTTTTTGGTTAGCAACGCCGTATTTAGCGGTAGCCCCTTGATAAATAATTGCAAGTAGGAAAGCATATTGCGAGGTATTATCAACTGTGTGAACTGTGTTTGAGCTAATTATGTGTATTCTCACTGTATTATCAATTGGAATGTTGATTAACGTTATTGTCGATTGCATCTCTAATCGCGTTGTCGACCATGGTTTCAATCCTAAGTTATCAAATAATCGGGCTATTGGGAGTGCCAGCGGCAAACTCCACGATTGCCAGGAGTTCTCTTTTATAACCAAGTGCCGTATTTCCTCTTCTCCCGTCTGAAAAGGAAGCTATCTTAAAGGATAGGAACAAGCGCTCCTCTCGGGAAATGGGTGATGACACACCCAGCCCCATACCCAGACGCATCTGAGTATAGGGACATTGGGATCTTGTACTAGTGCCGGTACACCTCAACATTAATTGTGTAAAGACGCCTTAGCAGTGTGAATGACAAGGATTCCGCGCTCCCCCAACGCCAGGAAACAGTCCCTGTGAGTATTGTAAGGGGTCTGGACAGTTCCGCTTAGTCGGATAGCCATCTACGATACGGTCGTACGGCGCCCAGAAAGACCTCACGCCTCGTTGATCAACCGGGACCGGCCATTCGGCTAGTTCGCTCGCCCTATCAGGCTTGGCCATGGGGCTGCTATAAACACCATGAACAAAACCCACTGCCGTGATCTCCCAGGGAACCTGCCCTGATATTCTTGAAGGAAAGGAGTATCACTGCCTAGTGGAGTCTTTTGTGGCTATGCGCCAGCAGCACCGGGCGTATTGTGCATTGGTGATCGGACATCGACTCCTCGTAATATAAGACGTATCGCAAAAGACAAATGTCTTTGCTACGGCAAATGAAGACTCCTTTTAAACGGTGACAAAATAGCAAAAACTGGGTTCTCATGGTGATTTGGGACTTTTCTCAGCTTTCGAGTAAAATCTTGCCGGGTGATCAGGTGGAGTTCTATTCTCCTCGTTAGAAGAGTCGCCTTCAACAGAGAGAAGCTGGCCTGGGCGAGACGGGAATTCGAGCTAATCCCGATATCGCAAACAACCGGTTTTTGAACGTGGTCCTCAGGTACACCACCGGGGATCTTGCTTATCCATGACTCCGGAAGGACCAATCCTTTTATAAGGTCGGGCAGATTTTCGGTTCTCTCCATACGCCTCTGAAGTGAAAAAACGAGTCCCACTTGGGGATAATTAGTCTAGAACTTGAAAGTACAGTACAAGGATGAGTAAGCTCTAGTCTAGCTGCATCACCTTCGCCAGGTTGTAACGCCCGGAAACACAAGCTGCAGCAACTAAAGACCATTTTATCCGAGACACCCCACGTCACCGTCCTCGGTGATGGAGCTGATCGGCGATATAGCAGCTGAGACAGTTCTGTGGTTATAGTCAGCGTTTAAGACTTCGATCTGACGTGGGAAAACTAGGATGAGGTTAAGGCATAGCTGTCAACCCTGAGATTCGGGAAAGAGAACAACCATAGCGTCAAGATTACGTCTACTAATAATTTTGCCCGTCAAGCGATATTCATTGTTCTATAGTTAATCTACCTAACTACGCATCACTACACAGGCTCAACAATAATTGCGGCTAAAAATGTCCATGTTGATGAGGCCCTAAGAATGAAATAAACTTCATGACAGAGTCTGTCATTCGAGGCAACATGGTTCTTATTGAAAATTGAAGAAAGGTATGAATGATCAAAAATGAACAGAGGTTGTTGGATGTTGAAGGAGGGTATGAATGTGAGGTGGGCAGCTGTCAGCAGTACCTACAGCTGAGCGCCAAGTGCCAATGTTGCTGCGATAAGCACCCACCCCACTACAAATCTCATATCTTATCGGCCAATTGCTGGGAAATTTTGGAACTACGCTCAGCAAGTCAACAAAGTACTGCTAAGGTACTGCCATCGACACCAAAACCTCCCACGAAACACCCCTGACCCGTACCACACCCCACAATGGGTCGCGAACTTCAAAAGCGCAAGCGGCGCTCGTCGCGCGCTAAAGTCACCATGCCCAACCGGCGCAAGAAGGCCCTGAACCCGCGAGGCAACGACATCATCGCAAAGAACTGGTAAGGCCCCATCCAACCATCCCCCCTTCCTCAAGCGCAATCACACCATATAAGACATACCCTAACCCATCCGTCTTCTCTCCCCTCCCCACAGGAATAAAAAAGAAACCCTCTCCCAAAACTACACCCGTTTCGGCCTCGTCGCCAAACTCGGCAAAACCACCGGCGGCACCGCGCCCTCCAACAAATCCAACCTCCAAGTCGGAACCGACCCCCTCGCCGCCCAATCCACCAGTCACGGCCTTCTACAAGTCGGCGAGGTCAAAGTCGAGCGCGACCCAGCGACCGGCCGCATCACCCGTGTCCTGCGCGAGGCCAACCCGCTGCACGATCCGCTGAACGATCTGGACTCTGACTCCGACGACGAAGGCGCGGCGGAGGCACGACGGGAAAAGGAGAGGCGGTATGAGGAGTGGTCTGGGTTTCAGGAAGATGGAGAAAGGCCGGAGGTGGTGAGCGCGCTGGAGCGGGAGGCGAATCGGCCGACGGAGAAGACGGTGCGGCACGCCAGTGGACGGGAGGTGGAGTGGTTGGAGAGGTTGAGGGCGCGGCATGGGGATGATACGGCGGCGATGGCGAGGGATGTCAAGCTGAATCCGATGCAGCAGACCGCGGCGGATATTCGGAGGCGGTTGAAGAAAGCAGGGTTGTTGGAGGCGTGAGATGGATGATGGGATGGGGGTGGTATTGGGGAGTTAATGGGTGTGCGAGAAGGCCGGGAGCATCTTAATGTGTTCCAAGCGGGGACTCGCGCTGGTAAAAATTGGAAGAGGTGCTGTCCATAAGAGGTCTCAATTAGGGCGCCATATATTCCATACATAGGGTAATCGGCGTTTGGCGTTGCTTGAAAGCTAGAAATAAGCAGTAAAATGTACACGGACAGATTACACAGACCAATATCAGAGGAACTTAACAAAATGTACATGTTCATGGTATCATTTTCTGTGATCTACCCTCTAAGACGCCGGCAACACCAAATATGTAGCAAAAGAAAGAAAGGGCAAGCCAGCGTCTCGCTAAGTACCCATCCCGAACCAGGCGAAGAAGCCAAAAAAAATGCTAGACGATCAAACCACCGTCCCAGACAGTTCCATAGCCATACAACGAAATGTGAGAAATCCCCCCAACCTCCCCCGCTTACACTGACTGTACTTCTTCCCTCCGCCTATACAATTCTTCGCCCCAAAACAATTATCGCGTGATATCATGCACATCATTGTCTCCCAATCCGGTCATAATCCGCATGCGGGAACCTCGCATCCTCAAAACCATCCGCCGCCGAAGGCGTCGCGTACCGCCCCACCGACGACATGCTACCCGAGTGGTATTCAGTCTCATGGTTATCGAACGGGTCCCCGCCCAGCCCAGACCCAAGCTGCGGTTGCCGGAACGGGTTGTCCTGGTAGCTGCTGCCGACCGTGCTGCCGCCGGCAGGGCCCCCGACCTGGCTGGCGGCCGGATTAAGTCCCGAGCCGCCGTACGGGTCGGAGTAGTCGGACCGGCCGCCGCCGTAGTGGGAGGTGTCGTCGTGGTGATCGTTATCGTGGTCATGGTCGTGATCGTTGATGTTGACGGGAGCGTAGGATTCTTCGTCGTGCGGGGCGAGTGAGAAGGCGGCCTTGTCCGGGTCGATGTTTTGGCTGCCGATCTGGGCGCGGTCGTAGCCGGGCAGGCGGTTATTCCACTGGTAGTATTTGAGGGTCCAGATGCTAAGGAAGGTGGTGGCGCAGAAGAACAGGCTATCGAGGATGAAATGTTAGTTGGGGTTCTGTGGACACACGAATACGAAAAACATGCTCAGGGATGGGGGTTGAAAGGGCATCGCAACATACAAGACAAACACGGCCAACCCGACGATGGCCTTGCTCAGGTTGCAGGCGTTGCCGCAGAGATTAGCGGTGTTGTATGATGCCTGGGTAGCAAAGGCGGAAAGCCACACGACGGTAAAGACAGCGTCTACCACAACCATGGCATGTGGCTCGGCGAGCTTGCGCGTCCGTGGGAAACGTGGGGACATGATCAGGTAAATCCAAGCGGGAACCGAGAGCAAGAACTAGGAAGCCGGGCTCATGTTAGCAAACGTAAAATGAGGCAAGAGGTCGGAGAATATGAAATGTGGAATATCGTATCGTACCACTCCGAAGGTCCAGCCATTGTTACCCACGATCCTGGACTTGTCGTCCCGGAAAACGGCAATTGCAAGGGCCCATGACACAAAGCCGAAGAGGATCTGAAGGCCGTGGAAGATCAGCTTGTAGGTTGGGATCTTTTCCGCATCAAACTCAAGGTCCTCCCACATCGTGTCTGGTTGGTTTTGCTCGCTGGGCTAATATCTATCTTCAGTGGTACAAGCTGTTCTGTTTGCGACCCTTGGGTGTCGGTTTTCGTTATGACGAGCGCTCGAGCGTTTTGGGTTAGGTCGTTTGATTTGTTGTCGTCGTTGTGTAGTTCAAAAAACCAAGACTCGACGCTGTGTTCAAGAAACGCAAATCAAGCGAGGACCGTAAAACACAAAGCAAAAAGAGCCGCAGCCGTTCGGTCCGCAGTTTCTATGTTGTTGGTAGAAAAAAAGACCAAGTTGAGCCGCGCGGTTTGCATGCCAAAACAGGGTCAGCTCCCACAAGAAAATGGACCCCCCATCCCTCATTCCCCCCCAAAACACAGCCCACTGCGGTTTGCCCAGGCGACGGGGCGACCCTGGTGCGGAAAGGTCACAAAGCCAGGGCTTGGCAGTGGGCTGCACTGTGCCAAGCCACATCAATGACGCTGGCCAAAAGTGAGTGGGAAGCAGTGAGAGCCAATCATTTGAGCCACCTCAGCCCATGTGGGTCGCTGCATGGAATCTTGCATGCAATCAGACACTCAGAGTTCCACAGTGTTCGTCCCAAATCGCAGTGGGCGGTTCATCTCAAAATCGAAACTTAAAAGTCAGGACCCGAGATAGTACTAACAAAGGCGGCCAAATCTTACTCAACATTTATCAACTTCTCTGCGCCTTGCGGCCAGGAGCCCACTTCCTCACCCCCGAAAAGCCCAGGACTTAATGTTAGTTATACCCCAGACCCATGGAGTCAAGATTGGAGGACCGCAGCCCATTTTAGAGTTGCCACAGTGATCTCGGCCGTCGGAAGACGGCATTAGCAACTGCCGGCCGGCATCCTACCCTCCATTTTCTTCTTCTCCGATCTCTCCAAGGCAGGAAAACTTTCCAATACTGCGTCAGGTCGAGTTCAGGCATCAAAGCATTCAATTATCAGGAAACATGCAGCGAATTACAGTATGGTTCCGCGGGGCTCCAATCCCAGTCAACAGCCGAGGCAGATCGGTGGTGCTGGCCCAGCAACGGCTGACCACGGAGCGCTGACGAGGCCTTTGGAAACATGTTGCCAAAAATAGCAACAACTCAAATAATTCCTGTTTGGGATATCAGGTTCACGTTAACGTCAACTTAAACACACGACGGATCTTCAAATGATTTTTCTTGCTGGCTAAGATATACCTCTAAGTGGAATTTTTTAAATGAACTTCCAAATCTACAAGGCATCTATGAATTGCCCCCATAACAGTTCCTGTCGTTCAAATAACTCGTCACAGGGTGTCCACCTACAGGTGACAGACCCACCATTGCCACCGGAGAACCACCAAAAATTTACCAGAATAGCCAAAAACATACAACACCGGGGATTCCCCAGTCGTCACCGGCCTGAGTACTGATCCGGCGGTCAGTAGTTTATCTAGGGGAGAGCGGACGGGATCCCGAGCTTTCTACTGCCTATGGTCGTATGTGGTAGACCAGTGTCTCGATAGATTCTTTTGTAGTCCAACACAAGAAAATTGAGAAAGGACCGGCCTACGAGGGCAGCGTACCTGCAGGGCGTTGACCTCCTTTCTTCTCTCATGAAACACGAGACGATGCCGGCTTCTCCACAGTAAATATACAACGGGCATCGTGGCACTGGTCGGTCTTGATTCTATACTTGACTTTGCCAGTGTAGCGTGAATGTCTAATAAGGTAGCGCATCTCAGAACCGAATCAAGTGAAAGTGACTCAGCGAGTCCAAATTTGCATAATACCAAGCCGGGCCGATGAGCGCCCCCGTGCAAAGCACGTACAGCCACAACCACCTCATTCCTCCAAGAAAGAGAAACGAATACACTCCGAAACAGGCCGGCCAGGAGATGGCGATCGGGGGCGACACAGGCAAGAGACCCGCTGAGAAAGAAAAAAGATAGAAAACGGCGCCAAAGAGGTTCATAGAGTAAAGAAACAAGACGGCGGCCCACCACTTGAGATTCTTTATCCTACGCCAAAGATATCCGGCCAGGGACACGCCTGGTTTAGTCCGAGACGAACGGTTGGAAGTGAAGGAGGAGTAGGAGGAGGGCTTGGGCTGAAACGAGACAAAGACTCGTCCGCCGCGTCCGGGTGCGTGATCCTCATTTTGGTTCGGGCCTCGCCGCATGTCAGTTTTGCAGGGTCAACCCCCAGCGAGTCGGCGTCGTTTTGTATGGCCGCTGCCAACTGCAACACGCCGTTCCAGCTCCGTGGGGCTTGGAGTGTCTTCTTTGGGACAAGAAAATCGCCAGTATGCTCGTCGTTTCGGGGCGGGAGGTTGATATGGGCCTGGAGCCAAACCAACCAAGTGCCGATGGTCCAGAGAATTAGAACCAAAATCAGAATGAAGACCTGGATATACGAGAATCCCCATTGGTACACCTTATCCTGCGTCAGCAAGCTGATTATCGTTCCTTGCATTGTTTCCATTGCTTTTGTTTTTCCTTGCGTAAAAAGAAAGTCAAAAACAAGACACGAAGGGGCGGACTTACATCAGCTTTGGACTGACACCTGCCGTTCGCATTGATGTACGCTAAATCATACATCCGGTTCGCCTGCATGTACATAATTTGGGACGTGTTTTGGGGCGACAACTCGTCCGGCATCTGTAATTGCTCGGGTAGGTCGCTGAAAAGGCAATATGCGGCGATGTTCAACGCCGGGGCGGGGAGTTTGACCTGTCCTTCCGCGTCGGGCCAGACGGACGGGGCGTTGTGAGCGCCGTGAAGTCCATACTCTAGGACATCTGGGCGCGTGTAGAGCCGGTAATATGCAATCAGCAAGTGGTACGGGAAGAAATGAATGAATAAAAGAGAGAAAGGGAGAGAACAGTGAACCGGGGACAGGACAGCCTACAATGCGTTGCCGTTGCCAACAGAGACTGGGGGTCGATGTAGAGATCGTATTCACCGCAAACCCACATCCGGGTTGGCTTACTGTTGACCATCGTAAATATTGGGGTTATACGACCGAGATCTATCATAAACCGCCGAATGTCATCAGTACTAGAAATATATTGTATATGTATGTGTGCAACCGTGAGCGGGCTCGGTAGCAACATGTAGAATGCCAGCAACTCACCAGTATAGCCGCCGTGGAACCTTGTGGAGTGAGGAATTAACCAATCTCCAGTTTTGCCAATCCTCCAAGCGTCGTGGACCACGTACGCGACAAATTCAAACTCGTCAAATCGAATGTAATTCCCATCCTCACCCGACACGGTAAATGTTCCGGACGGAGGCCTCTTGGTGGAGGAAAACAGTCCAGAACGCATCGTAGGTCAGCGGCTGTGCGGCTTTGTCCATAGACATAGCGACATAAACGGAAAAGGCGCGCCATGAGCAGTAGGCCAGCGCTGCCTGGACACCTCGTCCGATGGTCTAGACGAATGCAATAATCGTAGATGCATAATCAGCAGCAGCATCAAGCAGAACTAAGAGGAGGGAAGAATGATTACCAAATCCCAGACAATGTCCACCACCTTGGCCTGTGTAAACGACAGCTCACCAAACGCCATCGTAACTTGAAAGACCCCGTCCCATGACCACCAAGCATAGCTGTCCAGAACTGGGCTGAACTGGCCGTCGGGCTGGCACGCCTGTAGTGATCTGTTCAAGAACTTCAATCGAAAATCCGTCCAGACACTGAGAAAGATCAGGACAAATACCAGCACCGAGAACCAGACAAAGGGCGGCGTCCACCGCACAAGTCGTTTCCATCGGGCCTTGCGTTGATCTCGGAGTAGGCTTTGGGGATTTGGTGTCGGCCAGGTCGGTGGTGGCTTGGGTCTTGCTCTGGGTTTGGAGGTGCTATGCTGGTGGTGCTTGTGTGATTGCTGGTTGTGGAAGACGTAATCGTAATTATAGGGTGGCAGTCGCGATGGCGGGTTGGGACTGGGCCCTTGTCGTGGCAGTCGTAGCTCCTAGATTTGCTCACCAGCTCAAGAGGAAGCGACATTGTCACAATCCCGACTACTCTTGATTGTTGTTTCTTTGCTCTTGAGCCGTAGGGGTCATGAGACCAAGATCCGTTGTCGGTTGAGATCCATGTGCACCAAGGGACCAGGTCCAGAACTCCAGAAAATCAGAAATAACACGCAGTCAAGCGAATAGGCTCGCTCCTGTTGTTCATTTAAGGGGACCTCGCTCAACCTACCAGTCGCAGGGGTGTTTGTACTAATTGGACGATCACTTGCTGCGCCACGTTGAACTGAGACTCGAAAGGCTATGCGATGCAGGACGACGGTATGAGCCATTATTCTAACAAGACCTGGTTTGGCCCCCAATCCCAATCCCTAATAATTATTGATTAGAACTTCATACTCGAGAACCCGCGGAAGCTACGACAGTTTTCCATTTGAAATTGTGTTTTTATCCCCGTGCAGTGAGGGCAAAGGATGTAATTAACCTTAACTAGACTTTAATTAACTAGTTAATTCAGTAATCAATAACTACCTGATTCTATTTCAGCCAATTCGGGTTGGGAATAACTAACATCAAGAAACGGCTCTGCAGAAACCTCAATTTCGTTTTTTCTTTTCTTCTAGAAGAGAAATAAACCCGGTAGCTCACAAAACCAAGCACAAGGTGGCCATATACGACAGCTCAGTCCCCTGGACGACTTGCAGGGCTAGATGAGAAACTAGACTGCGGAGCGGGTTGTGTACCCGAGCTTCAAAATGAACGAGTTCCCGCCTGCCGAACATTAACCAGATGAAAAGTCGATTGTGAAGTGCTCTCGAGTCGAATTTCGGACGGTCAAGGATGGCTTGCTGGCTTTTGATTCATCGTTCACGGCGAGGCAGCTTTTCTCCTTGCAAGGGGGGTTAATAACCGTAAGGCTGTGTGGTGTGGGCAATTAGACGTTGTTGACAATGAAGATGTTGGGAACATTACTTCGTGCACAAGGGTGATATTAATCAAGGAGGTATATGTACAGGCTAGGATTATTCACCATCATTCCTTAATTAGTCCACACGGCGTGTTTCAATTGAAATATTCTGCCGATACCATTGATATTTTACAGGGAACAATACCATCATAACTCTTGACTCGGCGGGTTGTTATACCGGCTTAGCTTTCGACGACCGATCGTCGCGTTGATTAACGAATCGAAATTCCTGAGTTGAGAAAAACATTGATATTAATCAACGCGTTTGAGGTTTGTATCAGTTGCACAACTATTTATTTACCCAGCCTTGAAATGACGTTTGGCAGAATTGCTGTCATTCTGTGATTATTCCTCGCAGATAAAAAACCAACCAAAAGTATGTTCAGTCAACATGAAAAGCTTCCAAAATCCCACCGCGACTGGTGGTGTCTTGACATTAACTCCATCAGCGTAAAACCCCCCTGTCGCTAGGCGTGGCCAAGCATTCTACAGAGTAATAAATCCTTGATTTCCGCCTAATCAGGAAATAGCTAGGCTAGAGCGGTCCTCAGCCGGATGCCTCAACACCCTGGTTTTGTTCATTCTGCCTTGCCGATAACTCTCATGGTTTGAAGCGTAGATTGGGAGTCTGGGACAAATCCTTGAAGATTCGACGTTTATTTACTCGCCCTCTCCTTCGTCTCATTTTTTCTTTCCTTGGTTTCTTGCAACCACCAGGCTCGTCGTCTCGATCTTATCTGAGACTTACACCGTTACACCGGAACAGAAGAAACACAACAATCTTACACTGCACTTATCCACAACACCATGTCATCTTCACTCCCGTCTCCTACCATGGACAACAACAACAACAACAACGACAACAACCAACCCCAACCCCAACCCCAAAACGACACCCAGGATGGCACCAACGACGACACCCAGGACGACACCCAAAACTACACCAAACCTTTCCTCCCAGCCAACCCCCAACACCAATCCCCCCTCTTCACCCTCCTCCCCCCTGAACTCCGCACGCACATCTACACCCTCCACCTCCGCAACACTCGCCTCACAACCGGCGCCCGCCTCTCCCCCCACGGCTGCCGCGCCCCCCGTCAGCTCCTCACGCCCGCCCCGCACACCCTCGCTTTGCTCTACGTCTGCCGCGCCATCTACGACGAACTGGCTACTTCCTGGTCGTCCCCCTCTCATTGGCTTCGACATGTGCTCTTTGATTTTGCGGAGCCGTATACAATGCTTGATACGTTTTTCTGGATGCCGAGGGGGATGTTACAGGCTGTTAAGCGGGTGAGGGTGGGTGCAGAAGCGTTGGTGTTTACTATTTTTGATGAGTCGACTTTTTATTCGTTCGCGGGGGCGTTTAAGTTGCTTCCGGGGTTGAGGTTGGATGAGTTGACTGTGTTGGGGTGTCCAGTGGATGAAGGGAACTCGGAGATTATTCGGGATTTACTGCGTTTTGGGGGCGGGTGGAGGAGGTTGAGGTTTGTGGCCCATGGAGCGGGGATGTTGTTGGGATTGGGGGGTTCTGAGGAGGAGGAGGAGGAGGAGGGGGTTCAGGAGTTGAGGTGGGAGGAGAGCAGGGCGCGGGACTGTTGTAGGCAGTGGGAGAGCATGTTGCGGGAAAGGGATGGGAAGGAGTCCGGGAGTTCGGTGTTTGGGTATGTGGCACGGGAGCGGAAGACGTATGGGGTGGTATTGGATCCGGAGCGGCGGGTGGAGTTTTACCGGTCGAAGGCGGTTGAAGAAGGGGGAGAAGAAGAAGAAGAAGAAGAAGAAGAGGGCGAAAAGGCGGCCTGGAGAGATTTCCCCGTTGATGATGCTGTTGAGAAGGGGCCGGATGACGAGTACCTCGGGGAAGCGATCTTGGGACAGGTGGACAACATAGAGCGCGAGGTCTTGATTATTGTCACACGAGGGGCCAAGGTAGATATCGAAGACAAAGAGGACTCCCCCTTCGTCGAGGGGGATCCCCGTGAACACGAGTTTGGGTCGACTTGGGACGAGATTAGCGTTAGGTCCTGCTGGGGCCACCACAGACACCCACTGGACCCGGCCAAACACGGGCCCTCGAGGGTGGATGTGTACAGAGACCCGGAAGAGTACTCCTGGTCGAAGCAGCACTTGTGCAAGGACGAACCTTATCATTGGGATTGCTCTTCGGACAAGGACGCTGAGTTAGGTTCGGAGCCGGATTCAGATGAGATAGTAGTTTCAGAAACAGAGTAGAGGGAGAGTCCAAGAAATCAGTAGATAAATAATACGCAAGAAATCAGTAAATAATATGATAATATGATTGAGCGGGTGATAACCTCTATCCAAAAATAACCTGCGTAGGTGGAGAGTTTCCTGCTGTACCTACACAACACACTCACCTACCTACTTGACCGACCCACTTACACCTATCTACGGGACCACTACTCAACACCATCTCTCGTACTTCACCACTACACCTGCCACTGGAACCGGCTCTCCCGCACCATACTCATCAGCCCAGTCGGCAACAACCCCGCATCCACCACATCCAAACCCCCGAACCGCGCCAGCATGTCCTTGTGGAACAGCTGCACCACCCACCTCTCATAGTTGTCTAATCTCTTCCACGCGTCATCCCCCTCCTCTGTTGCCCGCACCTCCTTGCTCATATGCACGCTCCCCCCATGGGGCTCCTCGGTGAGTTCCTCGTACGCGCGGCCCAGCTTTGGGTCGGTGCGCTCACGGTACCGCGAGAACTCGGCCATCGACATGAAAGGCTCTCCGCGCAGGTCCAAAAACTCGGGCGAGTCCCGCCACTCCTGCCGCGTGCCCCCCGGGAGGGCCAACCCGTTGTTCTCGGCGGCCGAAGAGTACGACGATGCCTCCGAGTTGACCGAGGATCCGTCCGAGTTGTACCCGGAGCTTTCGTTGAACCGGTTTCGGGCAAGCGAGTACGCCAACTCCTCCCCCTCGAGATATTCGTCCACAACCTTCTCCGGCGTTTCCGGAGCGTCGCGGCGCGGGAGAAGGACCGAGACGAACGGGTTCATGAGGCCCAGGCCGCCCAGGGAAGAGGGCCAGTAGAGGTAGCCGTCGGGGATGGACGAGGCCGGCATGTCGAACTGGGCGGCAATCTTTTGCTTGAGATACTCCCCGACGCCGCCAGATTGACCCGGGAAGAGCTTGTCCTGGATGTGCCGGAAGGTCGACAGCATGCTGTCGATGTGGGCACGCCCGTAGCAGTTGGCCGGCTTGCCAAAGTTGTTGATGAAGAACCGGTGGCCGTAAATGTTCCACGCCTGGATGTAGTCCAAAATGCTGCGGCACGCCGACAGTTGAAGACGCAGCTCATCGATGTGCTTGTCCACCTCATCCTGGTCGATGCGGAAGCGGCCGGTGGCGCGATCCAGCTTAAGGAATCCCCACTTCACGTCGCCCTCCGGCAGTGCCCCCTCAGAAATCGTCGTTAAGGCCTTGCCGTTGAGAGGGCCAATTCGCACCGAGCCCGTCTTGTCCGTGTTGAGCTCCAGCCCCATGGTGTCCGTGAACTTGGTGACCACATCCCACGCTTGGGCGCAAGTGGTCGAGTTCCCCCAGAGCCACATGTCGTCGTGAAGCCGGTACAGGCGCAGCCCGGAAGCTTGCTGGTTGACTGCGTAATCCAGGGCAAACAGAATTGACTCGCCAAACAGGTCCGCAACCGGTGTCGAGACCAGCGTGCCACGTTTCCGCGTCCGCGCAGGAGCACCCAGCGGATCCTGCTTAAACCTCAACTCGGCCTCCAACACCCGCTTGAAGAAGTCAATCCACCCGGGCTGGACCCCAAAGTACTCAAGGACCGCAAAGATGGTCGAATGGGGGAGCGAAGGCCCAAACCACTTGAAGTCGGACCGGATCACCGTGATCTCGTTCCCTAGCTTCGTCTGCATGATGATCTCGGCCTGGAGACGGTGCAAAAGGTCTTGGACCACAGCGACATGGCCCGGCTTGCTGTCGCCAGGCTTGACCTCCTGGTCGTCGTACGAGCCTCTCAAGGCCTCGAAGGACTCAGGTAACTGGTCGAAGAGGATCGAGCGAAAATGCTCATCGCGCAACTTTTGTACCGAGTGAGAGTGGAGCACAGTCTGGTTGTTCAGGAAATACCGGCGGCGCCGGGCCTCAGCCTTGGACATAGGCTTGGTGTCCGGCTTCCAGACCCCTTCGGCATCGACAAAAGCGGTGAGGGCTGTGCGGAACTCGCTCGCCCATTTGAGGCCGACGTAGAAGACGAGGATCGAATGCAGCAAGTCCTCGTCCGTGTAGAACCGGTACCGGCCGTTGAGGTTCCGGCGCTGCTCGACAATGAGTGGCGAGCCCCATGTCCAGTCGGCAATGGTGGACATGCGCATGTTGAGCACGTCAGCAATCTCCGAGAGGACGACTTTATTCGATTGGAAGTCGCGCAGTGTGGCGCGCTTCTCCTCCGTCAGAATATCACTTCGAAGCATCGACCGGATGACGGTTTCGAGAGACTCCTCGTCGAAATGGGTGGAGGATGTCCAGTCCTCCTGAAACTTCTCTAGCCTCTCCCTCAGGCCCGTCAATGCTCGCTTAGCCTCCTTCGATGAAAACACGTCATCCATGTACGCCTTGATGGCGGCACCATCCGTCTCCTTGGGTCGGAAAACGAGCTCTTCCCAGGTCGCCCGCTGCTGGTGCATCTCTTCGCGGCCGGCCGCAGCAGATTCGGCACCGCCATCAGCCGAGGGGGTGGCCGAGGCGTTGCCGGACGCGATCCACTCTTCCACCAGCTTGCCGTAGAGCGAGGCAAACTCGTACTTGTTCGTCTGAGCATCCATGTGGGCGTGGATCTCGTCCTCGTACTTCTTCAACAGAGGCTCCGTGATGGACGGGTCGTACTCAGCCTGGTCGAGGAACTCGTCCAGACTCAAAAACGCATAAACCTTCTGCAAACCAACCGATTCGAGGTCGTCGCAGCCCTTGAGCAACGCTCTCGCTCGGGCCACGATGTCGGGATTGGAAGCTACATTCTGACGCAGCGCAGCCTTCTTAGTCTCATACCCATCTCGCTGCTGTCTCAGCTGCTCGAGCTTGATGGCCGTGATGGACGCAAGGGTCTCGGAAAGGACGCCCTTGGAAGCCATGGTGCGGCCGGTCTTGTTCTGGGTAGAGGAAGTGCTGTGGAAAAGAGAGCGAGAAGTGCGTTGAGGAGGTCGGTGGTGTCTTGCGAAATAGTTGATTGAGTGTCTGAGCGAGGGTATCCTGGAGAGGGCTGCGTGTGGTATTACTGCAAGTTTTCTCAGCTCACATGGCTGGAGATGTCGTCTCATTTTATCAACCCGACCCAATGGCCGGGGCGGGAGTGGAGTAGTCCTGATTCGCTGAAGAATTGAGGACGGCGTGCGTCATGATCAACAAAGAAGAGAGAAAACAACCATTGAGGACGGGAGGAATGGAGATTGTGAGGACGGACAAGCGAAACGGCCTGACTCAAAAACTCGGCCCACGCATGGCCGGCTGGTTAATTAGTGATCAAACCCCTCGGACACAAAGCCCGGACCTCGAGACGAAGCAAGGAACATTTTGCCTGGCGAAAAAGTGAGATGACCTGGCGAGAAACCACCAAAAACACAATGGAGCGAAAGATGAAGGTTGCATGCAGAAGGGAACACGATCCACTAGTTGTCAATCAACTTCGAAGGATGTTGTTTTACTCAGGCTCAGGGGCTTTCTCAGGTCTGTATGAGGGAGGAAGCGAAGGACAACTGCCTGAACCGCATTCTCGGCAAGTGATAGATCAAACATGAATGAGAAGAACTATGTACCGTCGAACATGGAAAGAACGAACCATAGTCATGTGCATCAATCATTTCACCCCACCTTCCTGTCCAACCCAAAGTTCAAACCATCCGCGCCTTCCTTTTTGCACTCCCGTCATCACCGAAGAGACTCACCAAACAGGGAATGAACCTCCAGCACAGACCCTGACAACCCCCCCCTCCCTTGCAAGTTAAAGAGGGTTAGTTGTACGTCAAGCAAAGGGAAGCATCAACGGAAAAATAGAGCAACCACCTCCTTAAACCTAGAATGGTACAAAGTGTAGCGTAGCACCACAAAAATACATGAACCCCGAAAAGAGCGAGAGACAGAAAGCGAGAAAAGAGGACACATAATAAAAAACTAACCAAACTCACTCGCTCCCGCCAACCAACCAACAAACCCCGTCGTCATGAAATCATGTCCGTTCCAGCTTACTTCCTCCGTCCTCACCTCAACCCCCTTTCTCCACATCACACCGAACCAAATCAAACCAAACCCCGCGTGTGAGCGATCAAGCAATACATAGTAGAGCAAGCAACAAACAAACCGCCAACCAACCATCCGCCCTGCCCTGCCTTAGACCACCATACCCGCAAGGAAGACGAAGACGAAGACAAGCCGAAAAAGACCATCACTAATAGTCCATCGGCCGATCCACCAGCGTCACACTATGCTGCTGGGCATGTCCCGCACCACCCGACGGCCGCACATTCTCCTGTCCATGCTCAGACGCCGACCCCGCGCTGCCCGAGTGACGGTGCTGCTGAGCTGATGATGGGGGCGGTGTGGCCGTGCCCGCACGGGCAGCAGCCGCCGCAGCGGCTGCCGCGGGAGTCACACGCCGGCCAGACGAGAAACGGGCGCCGCTGCGGCCCAGGCTGTTGCGCTTTTCTACGGTGTGGCCTTGCTCGCTGACGATTTTGGCTACCTGGGGATCGGTGGGGGTGCCGGAGGTGGCTGCTGTTGTCGTGGGGGATGAGGTCATGGTGTTGTTGGACGTGATGATGGAGCTGATGCCGTTCTGGATGAAGTTGCCGTCCGCGGGGTGGTTTAGGGAGCTGCTGTTGCTGTTGTTGTTGTTGCTGCTGGCCTTGTCGGACTCGTCCGGAACCTCGAGGCTTGTTCGCTTGGGAAGGACAGGGCCGAAGCTGGTTCGCTTCCTTTCTCCGCTGGCAGGGGGGCTTTGCAGGTTCGTGGAGATCGGGAAGCGGGTCTCAGGGCCGCCGACACTCCTGTCCCGGCGATGAGAGGCGGCGCGCGGGCTGGGTGCGGGCGAGGTAGCTCGGCTCCGGCTGCCGGTCGCCTTCTCGAGAAGCAAGCGGTTGCGCTCCTCCATGTGCGCCTTGCGGTTGCTCTCGTCCGTGGAGATCGCCCGTGGCCGGTTCTGGGCTCCCTTAATAGTCCCGGCCGAGTTCATGGTCGATAGGCGCTTGAGCTCGTTGAAGATGGAGTCCTTGTGCGTGAAGAGGTCGCGCACGAGGCGGTAGGCGTGTTTCTCCTCCATCGTAAGGGACGTCTCGCTTCGTGGGCGGAGGACGCAAGGGGCGAGGATCGTCGCGAGCTTCGCAATGTATTCCTCGTCGGCCGACGTGAGATCGATCAGGCGCGTGAAGTGGTTCATGCAGGCGTCAAGCGACGCAATGTTAGTGAGCCGCAGTTGCGAGAGTGTCTGCTGCAGAACGGGAACGCGGGCCGCATCGTCGCCTTCTCCCGTTGGAGTGGTGTAGATGGTCCGGATGATTTCGTAGACGTGCGAGGAGACTAGGGAATCTGCCGAAAGTTAGTACACTTTGTGCAACTTGAGTATCGTCTACTTTCGAACTGGGTTTCAGACGTACCTGGCAATTCAAGGAGGTAGAGCTTCAAAAGACTGGCGACGGTAGGGATGTCAAACTCAGCAAAGGTTTCAAGCGCGGGCGCTTTCCCATTGTTGACCCTAGCCCTGAGCTTATGCGTCTGGGCGAGTGGAACCTCATGCAGCCAGACACCCCTCCGAGCTTCATCGCCCTCGAGATCCGGGTAGTGGTGGTCGAGGTAGGTGAGCAGCGTCGTGATGATAACGGGCACGCGTTTCCGGTCAGCCCTGGCGCGGGCCTCGAGATCGACACCAAATGTCTGCTCGTCAACTTTGTTGTAGTAGTTCTCGTACACCACCACCTTTGGTGTAAAGCTACCGGTGCGGTAGTTCTCGAGAAGATACCGCAAGTCGCCCAGCGGCTGCACCGTCTCCTGGTAGAGCATCATGTTGTCGACAGTGGCCTGCAGGCTCGGAATCACGTTGCTGATGGTCCCAGAGAAGTCCAGGATCACCGTCTTGATGGCCTTGAGCCGATCCAACTCGCAGCGCTCGAGGAACTTGAGGTGGAGGTGGATGGCCTCCTCCAGCTCGCACCGCATCTCGTCCAGCTTCTGGACGCTGGCCTTGTACTTCTCGTCGGACTCGCGCGCTTCCCGGCGCATGCGTTCCGCGGGCGTTTCGTTTGGCCGCGACGTGTTCAGAACATCCCACTTGGCCAGATAATCCGTAACGGCACCAACTACCGGCGAGTTGTCACCGTCAGACCCACCCACGGGGATAGAGAAGGTCCTCGCAACGGCCTTCTTCTCTGGCACACCGGCCGTCTCGAACGCTTTTGGCCGCCACTGGTACGACATTTTGGAGCTGTTGGCAAAAGTGTTGCCCACGTTGCCGACCAAGCGCAGGAAGCCGTGGGTGACCAAGTCCTGGCCGATCCTCTCGGCATAGCTCACACTGGTACTACCCATGTGCTGCTGGATGTATTCTACGATATCCGAACCGGCCGAGGTGTTTTGGTAGGTTCCGAGAATGGGGACCTTGGTCTCGCCCATCTTGATGATCCCGATCATGTGAGAGAGAATCTTCTTGACCTGGTCGGGGCTGTATATCTGGTCGCCAATCTCGAGTGGTTCCTCTTCTTCCGCGGGCTCCTGCTCCACCTTGATCTCGGGAATGTTCTGCAGCTGCTTTGGGCTCTCGTGGTCCTGGAATGCAAGCTTGTTCTCCTCTTCGATATCCTCGACAAGCCGGCACTTGTTGAAGTAGTTGCTCCTGAGCTTCTTGACCGCCTCGGATTGCTTATCGTGGGACTTGATGCGCCCCTGCAGCTCGTCGTACGAGTCCTGTATCCGAGTGTCGTGGGCATCGCACCAGCGGGAGAAAGGGTTGACGACCAGGTCGCGGATGTTTTGCGCAATCTTCTTGTGGTTCTTGGACGCATCCTCCATCTCGGTCCGCACGCCCTCATAAGCCTTGCGCACGCTGGCACCATCGTCACGGACAAATCCACCCTGCACCTTGTCTACCGCGGGGGCGATCTCGGAGAGGCGTTGACCGTAGATCTCTTCGGCTTCGGCGCGCATTCGCGCGATGGTCAGGATTTGCCGGTTCTCGACGACGCCTTGCTGGAGCTTGCCGAACAGGACGCCAAGTCCTTGACTACGGTTAGCAACATCGGAGATTTATATCCTGCCGACGGCAAGGGGGTAGCTCACCTGCGGCGTAGTCGCTCGACCAGAATGATTCTGCGAAGCCTGGCATCTTCGCTGTGTGTGTCGATGACGTCGTCAGGTCGTCGTGGGGCACGGTCTCGTCGATTGGTGTAGTGGAAGTTCTATTCAGGGAGGCAGTACGTCGATGGTTTCGCTAGCCACTGCAGTCCTCGCGCAGCTTTCGTGTTGACGACCACAAAAGTATCCTGTGTAAAGTTTGCGCGCAGAGGCAGTCGATTGAGGCTGAGTGAGCCTGGCAACTGGGGAAGCTGGGGGGTTAAGTTGAAATCTTGGCCTCTTCGTACAGGCCGGGAATACGAAAGCAAGGATGTTTGTGGAAAGCGTTAGGGTCGGAGTTTCCGAGACGTAAATGGCGGAATGATCTCGCGGACAAACATGCGGTCTGGGAGTTGAACCGAAAGGAGAGGCTGCCACAAGAAAAGGGGATTTGAATTCTGTCTGCAAGTTGGCGAGAACATCCATCCGTCCCAAGCATAAGCAGCACCTGACGGCCCAAGAATACAGATGCCCAGCCAAAAGAACCCCACGTTCCATTGGATGGGCGCACCCAGCGACGGGTTGAGGCCACTGGCTCACTGGCCCGCTGCGATTCTCAGCCCCTGCAGGGCCGGCCAGGGTTGGACACAGTGTGCATTCAGGGTCTCCAAGGCACACCAACGTGCAGACACAATTCAAAATGCAGAGCCAACTGCATCTGCTTGCTATTTTCTAAGATTTGACGGAGAAAACGGCAACTGAACGCTTCTCCAAAAAGGAGGGCAGGAATTACAGAAATGCCGGCCATCCTCACTTGGGTAACAAATTTCATTCGATTGTCTGTTTCAGGATTCTAGCTGGATGCCGAAAGCGGGAGGGGCGCTCCTGCAACAGGGACGGTATTTTATTCTGAAACATGACGTCGGACAGCGTAACGGTCCCACTTTAGTTCGTACCTTACGCTCACGCTTCTCACCGAGGCGAGCCAAGAACGACTGACACCGAAGGGGACGGGAAGAAACTCGATAGACTGATCTCAAGCCATGCATTCTCGAATGCTTCTAGGTTACTCGGGCATTCCCGACCTCAGTCGTGGACAATGAATCTCGCCAAACGAGCTTTTGGGATACCACGAAGAGCCGCTGAAGAGGGCAAGCGTTGCGGAAATTGCTTGGCGACGAAGAGCAAGGGTGAGGGGAAAAGACAGCAAAAATGAAGAAGGGGAAAGAAAAGGACGATGGTGAGTGAGCACAACGTGCCAGCTCTCCGTACATAGTAGAGTAAGTTGCTATGTACTATGGCACACGATATGAAGGAAGAATCCTATGTTTCGGCATCGAAGGGAAGAAAAGGGCCGTCCCGTGAAAAGGGGCCAGTCCGAGGTGAGAAGAGCGACAGTCCCTCAATTCCCCTTTCGGCCCGCCGTATTCGTCATCCGAACGATAAGCGTTTCGATTGACAGCCACTTGGATAGTGACTCAACCTTCACCACAACAACGCGCGGGGCCGTGTCTTGGGTTCAAGACAGCGGCGCGTCATCGGTTTTCTCCTCCCGTAGCGGATCTATGGGATACTTATTGCTGCGTACCCCACAGCGACGGCCCCCGTCCCGTATTCCTTAAATCATCACAATCTCATCCGAGCCGATGAAGACCGACCAAGGATTTACCGGGCGCGAAGTCCAGGTCGAGAAAGCCCCGGTCGAGCAGGCGCTCCAAAACGGTTGGGCTAATCCGCATCGGAAGAGAACGACGTCTCGTACCGTGAGGGTGGCTTCATATGTGATCTTGTCCCTGTTGTTGTTCGTCTTTTTCGTCCCGTTGCCGGTTCCCTTTGGCTGCATTCATCACAAGTTTGTCCCAACCAGGCTCCGAAGCTTTGAGGACCGTGCTAAACATATCTTGCGGCACAACCCCCTGATCGGTATTCTTTCCCTCCTCCCGCGGGGTTTTATGAGAGTGATCATCCGCTAATCAGGCCGACAGACGGACACAACGACTTGGCGATCTGGATCCGGGCGAATCACGGCAACCACATCAACAATGAGTCGTTCAGCAAGCCGTTCGCGGAAGGCGGCCTGAAAGGCCATGTCGACATTCCCCGGCTTCAAACCGGGTTGAATGGCGGTGCCTTTTGGAGCGTCTTTTGGCCTTGCCCGGCCAATGGAACTGACTACTCGGACGAGAACTACCATTCTAGTTGAGTCACCTTACCTATGCAGTTCCATCAACACAAGCACGGCTTAACTAACGCATACCAACCTTCCACAGCCGTCCAAGGCACTTTTCAACAAATCGACGTCCTCGCCCGGCTCCAGGCGGCGCATCCTTCCGTTTTCTCCCCACCAACTCTGACCAGCCGCGAAGCCCTACACCGCTTCCGCTGGCATCACCAATTCGAGCATCCTCTTCACGACCACCTCGACAACGAGGAAGATCATGACTTCGAAGACGACGATAACAACCACGACGACAATGACCGCCCTCACCACCACCGCCCTCAACATCCCCACCACCCTCGGCATCGACACCGCCACCACGCCCTGGGCCCGCTCATTTCCCCCCTAGGCGTCGAAGGCCTCCACCAAATCGGCAACAGCCCCTCCATCCTGCGCCAATACCACGCCCTCGGCGTCCGCTACGCCACCCTCACACACAACTGCGGCAACCGCTTCGCCGACGCCGCACTCTGGGAACACCCCTTCCGCGTGGCCGAACCAGTCTGGCACGGCGTCAGCCCCGAAGGCCGCCGACTGATCCGCGAGATGAACCGCATCGGCATGATTGTGGACTTGGCGCATACCAGCCAGGATACGATGCGGGATGTGCTGGGGGGCAGTGTGGAGGAGAAGGGGTGGGAGGGTAGTGCGGCGCCGGTGATTTTTAGTCATTCGAGTGCGTATGCTGTGTGTCCGCACCCGAGGAATGTGCCGGATGATGTGTTGGATTTGGTGGGGAAGCGGGGTGGGGTGGTGATGGTGAATTTTAATGGGGGTTTTATTTCTTGTGTGGAAGCGGCTGAAGGGGGGAATGGGATACCGGAGTTTGAGCCGAAGAATTCGACGTTGGCGCAGGTGGTGAAGCATGTGTTGTATATTGGGGAGCGGATTGGGTTTGACCATGTTGGATTAGGGAGTGATTTTGATGGGATTCAGGACGTGCCCGAGGGGTTGGAGGATGTGTCCAAGTTTCCGGACCTGGTGGTTGAGCTGCTGAAGCATGGCGTGAGTGATGAGGATGTCGCTAAGATTGTTGGCGGGAATGTGCTGCGGGTTTGGGGAGAGGTTGAGGCTGTGGCTAAGAAGCTGCAAAAGGCTGGCGAGCCGGCGATGGAGGATACGTTCTCAGGGCGGCTCCGGGGAAACCTCCTGAACGACGTCGAAGAGCTCTGAGCGGAGTTGCGCAGTGTCGCTCTCTAGAGAGTGAATGAGATACAAGTCCTGATTTGCCTCGGTTTTATTTTATCGTACATACATACATAAAACACATATTCAGTACGCCGTAGCTGCACTGGGATTCTTCCTGCTCTTGATTTCTCTATTCCCCCTTGATGTGCCCATCCTGCAGTTGATCCCCGATTCCCTGCTTCAATCACACTGGACTCGCGGAATACCCAAAGAAACCATTTCCATGCGGAACCATCCCCCTAACAAGCCGCGAACAGCCCACCGCCAGCCATGAACCTTCATCCCCCCCTACTACGCCCATCCAACCATCCCCTCACCCAGCACGCTCAACCCTGTTAAGCTTCCTAGCATTCTCGATCTGGTTCCTTGTATTCTGACCGCGCACCGGCAAATTCATCGCGTGCCGCCTGCCACGGTACGAATTCATATCACGCAACCGCTTAATATTATCCACCACCAGTTTCCTCGCATCGCTTTCGAGTACCATGGTTGATAATTCGGCCGTCAGGGCTGTGACTGTCTTGGGCTGGAGGCTGCCCACCTTGGCGCGCGGGTGGATGTAGTGTCGTGCGAGGATGCGGGCGGACTTTTGGGGGCCGAGGGAGTAGAATCGTTCGAGGGCTTTCTAGGGAGGGGGTGAGTCTCTGTGTGTGTTTGTCTTCGAGGGGGGGAGATCGAGGGTGGAGGGGTCGTTTCGTACCTTGACGAGCTTGTGCTCGCCGAAGTTGACGCCGAAGATGAACACCTGGATGGGAAGATTAGTATGAGTTGTGCCGGCGCCTGGCTACTGGGGTTTCATACCATCTTGTCTGTTGCGGCCGATCTCCCTCAGCCTGTTGTGAGCAACAACGCAGGTCAAATGTTGAATCTCGAATTGTCGCGAGGGCGGGTCGAACTTCGAAGATTCGATGCTGCAGTGCCAAGCCCGGGTGCGGGCCAAAAATCGCATTGAGCTACCAGGCGGCTGCACCTGGCAACAGCCGTGAGGTCATTCTCGCATGGCTTTCAGTACGCCGTATCGTACGCAATACACAAATTCGTACAATACAATACACCAAGCACCCACAGACAAGAGCACTTCCTTCAAGTGAATTTTCACTCAGACTTCAAGTCGACTAAATATCAACCACCATGTGGCCATAACCTACGGCACGAATAACATAACATGTCTCTCTTTGAGACCCGGCCATCACGGCCCCTCCCATACTCCTCCGAGTTCTCTTCCACAGAAGAGTACGTCGAAAGCCTCCTCCTCTTTGCGACGACCTCGGACCTATTCAGGTTTCTGTGCGGCGGCGTCCACATCCTCGATTTCTTCACCACTGAGCCCGGCTTGTTTGCGGCCGCCGTGCCCAAAGAATGGCAGGACTACCTAGTGGCCACCAGGCCAATGGACCTCCTGGATTTCCTGATGCGGAACGACCTCTCCTCAAACTCCCCATCTGCGGGGCCCATCCAACCCCCAGACTCCCTGGTGCAGTATGTCAAGGACATCAGGAAACTTTCACTAGACCGGTCGTTCCAGCCCAGCAGACCAAAATTACCCGTCCTCCCTCGGCCAGTGGCCCTGGGAATGAAGACGAAAAAGGTCCATGAGGTGACCCATTTCGCGGGGTACATCGACCGACTGGCCGAGGACGCGGCGCGCACGACGGGGAGTGAGTTCACACACTTTGTAGATTTTGGGAGTGGTCAAAACTACCTTGGGAGAACCCTCGCGAGTCCGCCGTACAACAAGCACATTGTGGCCGTGGAGAGCAAAGAAGCCAACATGGCCGGGGCCAAGGACCTGGACATCCTGTCAGGCCTGGCCGAGCGAGAGAAGCGGGTGCGGAACAAAAAGCTGTATTACCGAGTCCGCGATGCGGTCGATCCGTCGCTGCAAAACGACGAAGAAGCCCTCAAGCGCGCAGCCAAGAACCTGGGCATTTCCGAGGAAGATATCGCCACTATCGATCTCACTTCCAGAAAGGAGATGGAAGCCACGTATACCGTCGAAGAAGGCAAAGGTACCATCGAGTATGTCGTTGGCCGTCTAGAACACGCCGACCTGACCGATGTCCTCTCCCAACTCCGCGGCCAAGAAGACGGAGTCCGACAGGACAACCTCCGGATGATGGCCATCTCCATCCACTCCTGCGGCAACCTCTCCCACTACGGCATCCGCTCCATGATCCTGAACCCCTGCATCCGAGGCGTCGCCATCGTCGGATGCTGCTACAACCTCCTCACCGAAAAGCTCGGCCCGCCCACCTACAAACCCCCCTTCAGCCGCCCCAGCCTCCAACCCATCAACGCGCGCGTAGCCCGCGAATCCGAGAAGCGCGACCCGCAGGGCTTCCCCCTCAGCCAGCGCGTATCCACCCACGGCGGCGACGGCATCCGGCTCAACATCACCGCACGCATGATGGCCTGCCAGGCACCGTCCAACTGGACGGAATCAGAGAGCGACGGCTTCTTCACGCGGCATTTCTACCGCGCCGTGCTGCAAAAGATTTTCCTCGACCGCGGCGTCATCTCGCGCGTCTACCACGGCGCGGAGACGGATGAGGAAAGCCCGTTTAATTCCAGCACGAACCCTGTCATCATCGGCTCGCTGCGCAAGCAGTGCTACACTTCCTTCCGCGCGTATGTGCGCGGGGCGATTGCTAAGTTGACGACGAACGATGAGTTTGCTCAGTACAGCGAGACGATGCGGGAGAAGATGGGGGATATTACCGACGAGGAGATTGCGCGGTATGAGGAGATGTTTCGGCCGCGGAAGCGGGAGCTGAGCGCGGTTTGGAGTTTGATGGCGTTTAGTGCCTGTGTGGTGGAGTCGCTGATTGTGACGGATCGATGGTTGTTTTTGCGGGAGCACCCGGATCTTGTTAGGGACTGTTGGGTGGAAACGGTGTTTGACTATCGTCAGAGTCCGCGGAATTTGGTGGTTGTTGGTATCAAAAAATGAGGGCAGGGGAGGACCATGGAAATATAACGAAGAAGTCATGGCCCCATTTAGGGGTTGCGTTCTCAGGGGCATAGCCACGGCGCTCGGGGATATTCGCATGACGTGCATCTTGCTGGAGTATATTTCTCGCCATTTGTACCATCTTCTGTGATAACTACGGGAGTCCGAGATGCAAAATGTGGAAGACAAAACGGCGGCTTCGAGGACAGTCGGGGTTCTCAAACGATATATACACTATGACGAGGCTCCCCGAATTTAGTTGTCGTTTGTCAAGTCGGTTTATCAACAAGAGAGACAGAGGTTTTAACCAACCAAACACCCGTTCATTCGGCTATCAATATACCATATTCGCCAATCATACTGATGAGACCTTCTGCCACGAGCATAGCGTCAAGTTTGACATATGCCGTGTTCCCATAGCGTACCTGTCGTCTTCGTGTCCCACCCACCATCTATGTCTTCTGTTTCCATTCCTGTCCTTGTTTCCTCCTAACTCCTGAGTACTTGAGATAACCTCTTAAGGTCGGGGAATATTTCCCCGTCCTCGCTTTCCAGCGGTTTTATTCTCTTCCCCCATTTTCTCTGCCGTGTTAGAGACGCCGTGACATCCCACGCTCCCCCACCTGACCTACGGCCCACTGACCCACTCACGACGGGTTAAACTTAGCGCAACCGAACTGTCGAAGCGAGCTCGCCCAGCATCTCGGAACTGCTGCTTTGTTCGCTTTGCATATGCATTCATGGGAAAGCTAACAAGGAAAAGCCCCTGCCCCCTTCTCCAGCGGGCAACCGTCACACTTGAACTCAGTTTCCCATAACCAAAAAGTCTCCCTCATAAAACGACATCACAAAACCAAAGGTGGAGCTCCAGTATTTAAGGTTTTTGTCGATCCGATTGCTCGCTGCAAGGACCACTTACATACCCACCCACCCACCTTGCCATCTCCTATCTACGGAGCTCTCGACCCCAACGTGGGATCCATCTATGACCGAGCTTCTTATCTATGCCCACCTTCTCAACTCTCAACTCTTAAGTTCCCTCCGTTACCTTTCCCCTTTACCTCACGAAACTATGGAAGAAAACATGCCCCACGAGATAGAGGGGCACTAATGAACCCAACTTTTGTCTTACCCCTCCTCCCCTCCATAACTGCGGTGGCGGACATTTTCCAGGGGCGCACACCATCTCGTTCGTTAACACCTGCATGAACCACAGAAACACGACTTCCGGATCGGGCTGCAGGCGCATGTTAAACACTGGTTATTTTTACTTTTACCTTTCTTTTTTTTCACCTTTTAGGTTGCCCATGGAAGCCTCTTTATGTTAGGCACATCCCGTCTTCGCTGCACACCCGTTGAAGCTCAACAGTGAGAAAGCAGCACAAAACAAGACAAGACCAAAGACCTTCCACACCGCAAGTAAGCGAGTCATCGTCTATCCATCATCACCCCTGACTTTGTTGAAGCTTGGCGTGAATTGGGACATTTGTCGTCATTTTAGTTTTTACGAAAGAGGAAAAAGAAAAGAAAGAAAAAAGTATTACAAGAGTGAAAAGGGGACCTTATTTTGCAAGCTTCATTGGTCTTTTGACTTTTTGATGCTTGAGTCCTCTTGACAACCATAATTGCCGTTTTCGTCCTTTTGTACTAAACATCTTCACCTGACTTGCTCTCTTAATTCATGGATCAATTTCTCACATCCTAATTCCCCAGATAGCCACACCTGTGGATAACAACAACCCGACATCGTCATATCATCAGGGTTGTCGCCGAGGAAGAGCGGGTCTCCGGCAGTTGATAAGCCAAACAAGCTCCGCTCACGATATCTACATCCACGCAAGTCTGTTTTGACCGAAGGCGGGGGTTGTTGTGTATTCTTTCCCTTCTCCATCAAACTTTGGGGTTATTGGGACCACACAAGAAAAGCGATCGGGGATCGTTTTCGTGACTCATTCCTTCACTCTTTGTTCATCAAACACATCATTTCATCGCATCCGTCGCTGGACTTCACACGCAGGTCCTGGAACGAGCGGTTGGGTTCACCGAACAATTCGTCGCGACGACGACGACTTTCTCACCATGGCCGCTCAGGTATCGTTCATGGTATGCCCTCCCCATTCCCACACACATTCCCCTCCTAGAAAGCCACTACTTCTTCAACCCCATACACACATCACTAACACCCCCCCAGGAAGGCACCCTCAGCCTAATCCACATCCCCCTCGACCTCTACCCGACCCTCCTCCAACCCATCCTCCAAGTCCTCCTCCCACCCAGCCAACTCCCACTCACCCCGGACAACCTCACCATCACCACCCAACACCATGGCGGCCAAACCCACAGCACCTTCCTCAACATCAGCATCACACCCATCGAGTGCTCGATAGTCTGCCACTCCGCCTGGGCCGAATCCATCTTTGCGCCCGCCATCCGCCGGCTGTCGTCCCAGCAAGCCAACAGTGTGGCCATCTCGGGGGATACGTATATTGCGCTGAGCGTGTATGGGACGGGGATGGATGCGGGGTCGAGGGTGGTGGAGTTGACGTCGCCTTTGGCGTTGGCGGGGATTCCGATTTTTTTTACTACGACTTATTGTGAGTCTTCTTTACTTTCTTCACCTTCTTGCTAGGATATTATGGCATCGCAGATCGAGAGTAGTGGGTGCTGACTGGGTATCAGACTCGGATTTCATCCTGGTCCCGACCAAAGATCGACAAGCGGTCGTCAAGACGCTTCTAGCGCGCAACTTTGTCTTTTCCAACGATGACCAGTCCCAGTTAGTCTCCGCCAACCCGTCACCAACTTCATCGGCCACCGCCCACCGCCACGGCGGCTTCGGTTTCGGCGGCGTTAGCTCCGGGTCGGTCTACCCAACTTCCCACAGCCGTGTCCCAAGCCAGCCAACCACTCTGACCACCAACGACCTCTCCACATCCCCTACATCTCCCCCGCCCGCGGGGCTATCATCGGCAGTGAAGGAAGCAGCCGCAGCAGACGACGTAGACGCCCTGCACCAACGCACCTTCGATCTCCTCCGCAAACGCCACGTCACGCCGTACATCGAGCCCGGCCTGACACTCGTGCAATGCAGCGGTCTCCGCAGCAGCGGCGTTATCTCCCTGCGCAACCCGCCCACTCCAGGGGGGACCACCTCCCACACAGATACCGCTACCGGCATAACAACCAGCGGGGAGACGCCAATCTCCTCCCGCCGCGGCTCAGCCCGCCCAGTCCCCTCCAAACCAGCCTGGGTCAACACAATCGACACAAAACTCTACACGAGCACCATCACCGCGCTGGTTTCGCAGCCACGCTTCCTTAGTCTAACGCTTGCCCCCGATGACCCGCCTTCTTTACTTCTCGACCGGGCGCTGGTGCCCCTTTTCGGTGACGCGCTGGTGGGGCCTGTGGATGACGACGAGGCGGCGCTGGTGCCGATTTTCTTGGATTTGGCGGACCTGCCGTTTGAGGCGACCGGGATAGTGTCGGGTGTGGCCGGGCGGTTGGTGCGGCAGATGGGGGGTCCTGGAAGTAGAGCGGGACGGGGGCCGGGGGAGGAGGCGGAGTTGTCGTATTTGTCGACGGCGAGGGCGGGGGCGGTGATGTTGGGGAGGGATTTGGTCGAGGGGGCGTTGGGGGTGTTGAGGCCGTTGTTGGAGGGGGAGGAGTAGGAGGTTGTATGTATACGTGGGATGGTAACGCCGCGGGAAGGGGGTTCGTGTGTTTCCATATCGGAGGGTCGTAAGGGATATTGATGTATACCATGGAGTTCAAAACTGTCGACGTAGATCGTGTAGTGTAGTGTAGTCAAGCTGCAACAAACAAAGCTTCCACTCTCACTTCCCCCCCTTCTTCTTCCCGCTCCCACTCCCACCTGCTTGCCCCCCCTCCTCCCTCACCCACCCCGCCCTAACAAACGCATCCCTCGCAGTCTGATTAATCAACGCAAACCTCCTCGGCCCCAACTTCTGCCCCCCATACCAGCGCGTAACCACCACCATGGCATCCCACAAATCCATAAGCTGCATCAAATGCAGTAAACGCCCACCCGCCGCGGTCTCGCCGTCGTCGTCACAGTCCTGGAAACTGGTGCCACCGTCTCCGCGGATACGCCAGGCGGTGATGTTGTGGGTGGCTGTGCGCACCCGTTTGTCGGAGGCGAGGAGGTGGGCGAGGAAGGAGGTTGCTTGCGCGGGGGAGGTTACGGGTGCGCAGCGGGCGAGGAAGGTGGATTTGTTTTCGGTGAAGAGGGCGGATAGCGTCCAGGGGGGTGGGGGGTTAGTGTTGGAGGACATGGAGTCGGGGTCGGGGTTATTGGTGGTTTGATCTTTGTCTGCTTCTTTTGCTTCTTTTTCTGCTTCCTCTGGGGGTTCCGCGGTCTCTTCCGCTGGACCCTCCTTTGTCCCAGCGGATAATAACAACTCCTGCACCTTCTCTATAGCATCAAATAGACAAACCACCCCCGGCTCATACACCTCACCCACCGCCTCCCGGAACAACGCCAGATCATGCGCCGCAGCGCCGTGTTTCCCGGCCGCGCCCAGACTATGCGTGCCGAGGACTACAGGCGGCACATCGGGGTATTCGGCGGGGAACTGCAGCCGCAACGATGCGGTGTTCTCGCCCGGGAGCGTGAGGATGAAGATGGAGGGGTCCGGGTCTTGGGTGGCCTGGACGAGGGTGTTGTCTCCGTAGATGGAGTTGATGGCTTCGATCTCGTCGTTTAGGGCTTCTGACATGGTGGGTAGAGTTTGGGAAGGGGCGTTGGGGGTGGGCGAAAAATCTGCATGGGACCGGTGTTGAGTGAGTGTATGGAAGGTGCGTTTGCTGTTTTGGGTTCATGTGTGGGAGTGGAGCCGTGATGCATCTTTAGTGAAGTACACATAACAAAATCCTAACATGCAAAAAATGTTCTCTTAATTGTGGAGGACATCCAAGTATCAGGCCTGTGAAGTCTATTCTGATTTATATTCAACATTTTATGGAAACTTTTTAAGTCTCTGGAATTCGCTTGATTCAAGGGTTGTCAGACTTTCTAATTGTGAGTTTAGTGACAGCGCACTGATAGGCAATTGGTAGGGTTAATGTCTTCATCTCAACCCTCCCGTCTCAACAACCTCAACTTTACTATCATATTAATTTCCATCAAAATCACAAAACAAGGACTCTAGTTTGCCTAAAATATACGGATACGCCACCACATAAAGCCGCAGGAATACACTCAGTTTCTCCAACGTTTCATATTTACCCCATCGGCCGGGCTTGCCCACTGTGCCTCTCTGTAATGCCCCCACAGCGCTTTTGTCTGCGCGTTGCAGCGAGCGCCGTGCTTGGCATTGGGCCAACACACCACGGCCGCATCCTGCTTATCACCAACAACCGGTCTGAAAACAACTCTTGATGCCTGAGCTGGGAAACAAAGAAATCTTAAAACGATAACCGCTACCGCTTCAACTCACACGGTGCAAACGCCTAGCCTTTGTCCGCTTGACTCAGCCCAGCCAACGCCGACTTGTTTGATCATTCACCAGGTTTAGTTAACTAGTCATTCCGGCGTGGATACGAATAGAAGGGAAACCTCACAAACAAGTTAGGCTGCCATTGTATCAACCTTGCGCCCATTTGTTTGCCATTTCTATTTGTACTCTCAAGACTTCTTCATCTCCCTCCCGGGATTTTTCTTCCTTTTATTCTCTTCTGTCGTTATCCGACAACCTTATCACAACACTAATGCCATTCTTCCAGCGACTCAGGATGGCAGCTAAGAACTCCGTCCCAAGCGACGATGGCACCTACACGGCCTTTTTCTACGGCACTCTGGTACAGACAGTCCCACGTCACTATAAAATCAGTCACCACTAGGTAACTAACAAACCTCCAGATGGCCCCGGAAGTCTTCTACTCCGTCTGCTACGGCCGCAAAGAAGTTCCCCCCTCCATCGCCGCCCAGCACACCTTCCAACCCGCCCTCCTGCACAACTACTGCCGGCGCCGCGTGCGGTACGCCGACTACCCGGGCATCATCGAGGACCCGCGGCACGACGTCTTTGGCATCCTAGCCACGGGGCTCACGCGGGCCAATATGCAAAAACTGGACTACTTTGAGGGCAGCCAGTATGAGCGCCGGAAGGTGAAGGTTTCGTTGTTGGATAAGGTTGGGGATGCGCATGGGGAGGGGAATGTGGAGGGGGAGGAGAGGGAGACGGAGGTGTATGTGTTTTTGGAGGAGAGGGATTTGGAGTCGAAGGAGTGGTGAGTTTGTTTGATTTCTTTTTTTCTTTTCCTTCTTTTTTTCTTTTTCTTTGGTTTTCTCTTTTGCCTTTCTGATACTAGGGATGGATCAACTAACGCAAGTACTAGGGACCTGGAGGAGTTCCGCCGCGACAAGATGAAGTACTGGACCCGGGCGGGCCATACGTTTGATGGTACGCATTAGCGTTGATTTCTTTGATGTCTAACTACTACTACGTGTCGATTTGAGAAGCGAAGCGTCCGTAGATGCTAACCTGCCGGAGACTGCGACCCGGACAACCCGGCGAAGGTGGAGGGTAGCACTTGAGTTGGGAGTTTGAGGAGTCACTCATAGAATCAATCACAGTTGCACTGCTGTGCCAGAGGATACTGTGCCAAAGGAATGCAGACTACCAATGATTATCTCTGTCTCATTATGATTCTACGTGATACTAGTATGCATGGACTTTGATTTCCGTCTTTCGACAAACTATTCGAGCTGTTCTTGGCAATAAGCGATAGAATATGGTAGGTCGGATATCAAATCTCAGCATATCACATTTGCCAAGTGCGACAGTCCCATAGTCCGAGGCGTCTGCCTGATAAGACGTTGTACAGCAGTCCGAAGGACCGCCACCTCATCTCACATAATGTGAACCCTTGGGTAGGTTTGTCTCATCCTTTGCGGCGTGTGTACCACAATTCAACACAATATGTTACCACCGTACCACAGCCAGGAATATAGGGGCTCTGATATCGCACCACCAGGGCACTTATCGGGCCGTGCAATCTATTCCCCTCAGCTTGGCCGTGGTACACAACTCGACGATCCCCGACGCTCCGCACTCTTACACCGAATCCGTCGAACGGTACTCACCCAAAGACTCAGACAAGGCTGATCGTCCAATGCGGCATATCGCGATGGTTCCCTCTTGCCTCTGAGCCTCCCTAGGCTACGACACTAACACAGTCTAGTCTACCCTAGGACCATGGTAAACCCCCCGCAAGAAACTCGCAAACCATCCCGAGCCAGGCACAGCTCGCCGGAGCCAGCTCCGGTCGGCCGACAAACACCCCCCCCTCCCCCCTAGGCCACCCCCAGTTTGCGACGCCGTGGAGATGCATGTAGCGGCTGGTCGGGAGGAAGGGGGTCCGTCCGGGGGAGGTTCAGGGGGGAGGTTCAAGGGGGGAACTCTTATCCCGACATCACGCCGCAGGGTTATTCCGGCTTTTTTATCTTTCTGTCATCAGCTCATCGGTTCGTCACGCACCCTGCTCTCTCGGCAGATCGCACAGTATTATGGACATGGAGGGGAGCGCAACACGACATTTTGCATGCACCTCTGCGGCTCATGGGAGGAAAATGAGTCCGAGTGCGGGTGCGAAATATAAGTCCCGAACAGAGTGAACCAAGAAAGTGAGATTTGTGTCCAGAAAGGGAGAGGGATAAGTGTCGAACAAAAACGGAAGGAAGCTGGGGTGGTATTGGGTGGTATTTTAGGTTGTGCCACGAAACGGAGCAAAGGACCCACTCCACACGAGCCTGGAATCACCACCGTTTTCCAAGCATTTTACTGCGTAGTACAGCCGAGGTACACCCCCATCAATTCCCCCCATCAATTCCCCCTTCAGTCACTTCAGTGCCATCAGTGGAGAGTGCCTTCATCAACCCCTCAATTCCTCAGATCGACAATCGCAAGGTCGCTTCCTACAACCAATGGCCGCGCCGAGCACACCCCGCGGCGCCGCAGTCCGTGATCCTAGCGCGCGGCGCAGACTACGTTCGTGGAAAGGGCGCAGCTGGCTTTCTTTCAACCGCCGGCTCGAGACTTTAGCTTTGCAACACAACCCGCTGCAAGTCGGGAGATTGGGAGATTGGATGGAAGTTTGGACGGGAATAACCTTTTTCTTGTGTTTTTGTTTTTTAGTGCAGTGGGAACGACCGGATTCAGGAAGGGCCCGGGATTCGGGAATGGGATCGAATCGTCGATAGCAGCCCCCTGAACGCTGCGTCTGCGTCTGCTTCTGCTGCAACTGCTTCTGCACTCCTACGATACTAGTACGCGGAAGACACACGAATCAGGAAAATGCGGTAACATGGCGGCAAGCAAAAGACGAGACGAGATGAGATGAACGGGAGTGCGACCCGAAAGTGGCCCAACGTCGCAGTGCAGACTGCGCAGGTCGCTGCGCAGTATGCTCGTCTGGAACTTTTTGTCCCTGAACGATCCCACCGAACACCGACCGGTCGGAGAAGTCGGGGCGCCGCTTCTTCCGATGGGTGGTGGTATCATGGTATGGGATGCCACGGTGATAACCATCTCCCTCCGAGATGGGTTGTCTGTTTGGAGTTCTTCCGGGGATCCCTCTCGTCGGTGCCTTGCCTTGGTAATTCACTTACCAGTTTACCAGAGCGACCTGAGCCAGGCTTGTCAACCTGCCAGGGCCCGGGAATCCACTCCCTGCCCACGATCGCGCCTCGTGGCAGACCCTAGCGTGGGATCGCGCACCTTGCCGGCGGGTTCCCAGGCCTTGCCAGGACATACCGTACATACAATCCCCAGTAACCCTCGGCGATAGACGGGGGATGTAATCGCCGTGTCACCGTCTCGGGTCCGGATTTTGGGGAGAGAGTCCTTGGCTTTCTGCTTGGGCCCAGGTTGCCTTCGGTAGTCACGGTCCTGCGGTAGGAATCCCGCAGTCCCTAGTGCAGCTGTGTGTCCCTTGCTGGGTTGCTGGGTTGCCGCCCACTTATTGCCTGTTCCTCGTTGTGTCTGTGCCCTTTGGGAATCCTTCGAGGGGCCGATGATCTGGTGGTGGTTGTCCGGTTCGAGCTAGTGCCCGCGATACCTCGGGCCGGCGCATTATTCCCAGTCTTCACATAGCACGGCCATCGTACCTACCTACCCTACGTTTCAGCATTGCACATCAACGCCTATCCATACACTAACTCATCCAACCCTCAAACACACGCTACCGACCCTCTCCTCTTCCAACCTCGCTGCCTATTATCCGCACCATTACCCGCCCCATCCGGAAACCCGCTCCTTTCGGCCTCCACGCAAACTTCCCAAAACGGATATCCCGCTTCATCCCACTTTATCCCATCCTGTCCCATATCCCAGTTTCCCAGATCCCAGCTCTACACTACGCTACACCACACTAGTTCCATCATGGCCCCCACCGGCACCCGCCTCACCCGCAAAATCGCCATCGTCACCGGCGCCTCATCCGGCATCGGCCGGGCCATCGCCCTGTCCTTCGCCCGGGAGGGTGCTACCTTTGTGTTGTGTGCTGATCTCGTTCCTCTTGGCCGTGGTGCCGAGGGGCCGCCTAAGGATGGAGATGATGATGATGATGAGAAACTCTCTACCGAGGCGCTGATCACGAAGCGGTATGGTGAGGGTAGGGCGGGGTTTCGGAAGGTGGATGTTACCGTGGAGGAGGAGGTGAAGGGGATGGTGGAGGGGTTGGTGGATGCTTTTGGGAGGGTTGATGTGTGAGTCTTGCTGTTTTTTTTCTCGTGACGGGGATGGTATGGTGTATCTGATGTTGAGATGAGACTGGACTAACAAAACAGCATCGTCAATAACGCCGGCGTGGGCCCGGCCTTTACACCGCTGCATGAGACGCCTGACGAGATTTGGAGCGGCACGCTGTAGGTCTCTCACTCCCTATGTAATATGTAAAGGAGTTAGAATGGAGTAAAGAAAAAAATTACTAACAAATCAGCAACATCAACCTCCGCGCCCCTTTCCTCTGCTCCAAGTACGCAATCCGCCAGTTCCTCACGCAGGACTCGGCTTCCGAGCGCGACAAGCGCGGGTCCATTATCAACATTGCGAGTGCCGCTGGTTTGCGGGAGGTCAAGCTGTCTGGTACGTCTGTCTTTCTCTTTCTCTCACTGCTTCAAAGTCTTGTGCTACAGTAATATGCTGATACACAACCAAGGAGCCTACTGCGCCTCCAAAGCAGCCGTCATCAGCCTGACCAAGTCCACCGCCCTCGAATACGGCGCCGCCCGGATCCAGTGCAATGCCATCTGCCCCGGTAGTGAGTATCCTCCTTTTCTCCTTTTTTCCCCACCAAACGCCAACGGGAGATACACGAGCTAACAAACACAGCCATAATAACCCCCATGACAGCCCCCGTGCTAGCCCACGACGAAGCGCTCGCTTTCTTCAAGACAGCCGTGCCCTGGGGCGACGGCGGAGTCAGCCGCGGACCGGAGGAGATTGCGAATGCGGCCGTGTGGTTGGCGAGTGATGAGACGAGCTGGGTTACGGGTGTGGCGCTGCCGGTCGATGGGGGGTATTCTGTGCATGCTTAGTTCTTTACTATGGACTGCGTAGTTAGCTTTGGTTGGTGTTTGAAGAGGGACAATTTGGACTTCATTACTGTTATTGTGCTGTTGCTATGTGAGAAGAACAAACTGTGATTACTCATAACCGCCCCCAACTTTAAATCTTAAAACCTTAAACCAGCATCAAACAGACCCCAAAGAAATTAAACTCCCTATTCATCCAAAAACCTCAACCCATCCCCTGCGGCTTCCCCGACCTCCTCCTTCAACCCCAGCCCCTCCGCCGCCATAAACACATCATGCGGGGCGACCCCAATCTCATACGCCTTCACCTTCCCACCTCCCTGTTTCTGCACCTCCGCCCACCGCACAATATCCTCCCTTAACACCTCCCGCCCGCCAAACTGCACCCACACCGGCACGTCCGTGACAATAGCCTTTTTCACGGGGGAAATGTACGGGTTCTCCGCTACCCCTTTACCAGCCTCTTCTTGGTCGGTGCTGCTGCTTGCGGTGGACAATGCCTCTGGCAAAAACACCCTCAAAGCCCACTTCACCATCACAGGCGGGACCAAATCCGACTTATCCTCCTTGCGCTTCTCCAGTTCCGCAGCCGTCACACTCAAATCCGTCCACGGACTCCACAGCATCACGCCGCGCGGCAGCGGTAAACCGTGAGTCGCCTTCTCGTCTTCGAGATACCGGAGCAGTGCCAGGGCGAGGTTACCACCTGCCGAGTCGCCTGAGATGATGATTTTCGAGCCGGGGACGGCAAGCCGGTGGATGAGGTGTGCGTAGGAGGTTATGGCGTCTTGCAGGGCTGCGGGGAAGTGCCCGCCGCCTCCGTTGCTGTTTTGGGCGTGTAGGTGGTGGTGAGAGGCGAGACGGTATTGGGGGCAGAGGACGGCTGCGGTGGCGTTTTTGTTACCGGTGGTCGCTGCGGACAGGAGAAGGGACGCGCCAACAGCCATTTCACGGTCGCGGCAGTCGAACACGACGTAGGCGCCGCCGTGGAAGTGGAGGAACACTCGCTCAGCTGTTGCTAGGCTGCTCACGCCATCTTTGGTTGACGGCGGAGCAGGGTGCCAGACGGCGCCGATCTTGGTCGGTCGGATGCCGTTGGGTTGAGGCGTCGCGATGCCGGTGTAGATTGGGATTGTTGCCTGCTGCTGCTGGCCGTCTCCTTCTTGGGCGGGTTCGACAATCGGGTCGATAGCAACAAACCGGTCCTTTTCCTGGCCCGGGTCGAGCGTCTGTGCCGGCGAAAATTCGACGGTGGTGGAATACTCAAAAAAGAAACGCGTCAGGGCGACTACAAAAGCCTGCTTATGTGTCCATTCGCGGACGGGGCGGAATTGCGCGATGGTGTAAAGCAGCATCAGCGACGGCAGTTTGACGACGGCCTTGGCGATCGTGTAAGTCGTGTACACGAAAAAGCCCGGTTGCCGGGTCCAGGCCGACGTGTTGGCCATGTTGCGTGTTTGTCTGCCGGTAAGCAAAAAATTCTGTGCACTGGTGATGAACAAAAATAATAAAAAAGAAGTAAGACGTCGAGGTGGGTGAGAAATATGAGTTCAAACATCCAGGCGAGTGGGAGATCCCGAGGCTTCAAACGGAAGGTGTTGGGAGCTCGGCTACTCAGCTGCGCGGCTCCCTTGGGTCGCTCCCGTGGTGCGTGGTCCAGATCACCTTTCCAACAGGAGCAGACCCCGGTGCAATTAAACGCCAGTGTACGGCGCGGAAATCGTGCGACACTACTACTGCGTATAGCCGGACATCTCCGGGTCTGCAGAAGGAACGGATTGTGGGTGTCCAAAAAGTCATTTTGTATGTGTGATCTTTGTTCATGTTCCAAAAGTGCGCGGGCGCCTCGATGGGTCGCCTGGGCGCTATATACGGTGAATCGAAGACAGTAGAAAACTCAAAAAAATTGGTATCCGCAAGACAAAGAAACAACCGCCCAATCCAGATAGCCTCCGTTTATCTTGCCAGATCCAGATCCAGACCCCGAACTCCGTCATTGCAAACATTACGTATCCAAAAGAGAAACATCACAGTAGCCGTACAGCATCATACACAAGTCTTAAATCGTCACCCCCCTCATCCCTAGTACATGCTGTCGTGCTGCGGTGTACCATGCTCGACGTCTGGCCGCTTGACATGGAACTGGTGCGTGACCTGGATGTAGCCCTGCCCGGCCTTGAGGAAGTTGGGGTCCCCGTGGCTGGTGTACGTGTTCAGCTGCCGCGTGCTGTCCGTCTCCGGGTTGGTCTGCGAGTTCATCGGCCACGTGTCGTGGACGAAGGACGGCTTGGAGTTCTTCTCGCTGCTGTAGCTCGAGTGGAGCGACTTGAACCACCGGCTGAGCGTCGGCAAGATCCCGTTGTTGGGGAGCAGGCGGCCCAGCGTCGGCAGACAGCTGCAGAAAATGGCCACCCCCATCTCGATGCTGGACCAGAGCATTCCCTTGTACAAGTCGACTATTTACTGTTAGCTATGGATGCCCCGAGTAGGTAGCTGTCCATTCAAACGTACCTAGTTGCGGCGAAGCCGGGTTGTACATGTAGACGATGCGGATAATGCAGGTAATGCACACGCTGGAGAGTCGTGTTAGTCATGCCTCTTTTCCAGACGACGATGCCGTTACTCACAAAGCACCGAGCACAAAGATGCTCGCCACGGTAATCTTCTTGGAGAGATTGAGTTTAAGCCGGAAGACAGCGCGCAGAGGTAGGATCAGGATGGCCACGTCTAGCAGCATGTTGGTGATCTCGTAGCCCAGGATCAGGTTTCCGAACGCAATGCACCGGCTGCCCGGCGAGTTGGCCGCGAGGAGATCCCATGCCGCGCTGACCGGGATGCACTGGAAGATGACTAGTAAAAGCGCCGCCAGGCCCCACGCAACCGAAAGGGCGCCGATGATGATCATGGGGATCTTGATGTCGCTGTTGTTGACGGCAAAGATGTTCCAGTACCAGCAGACGACCGAAGTTTTGACAAAGGTCAAGATGATGGTCATCAGGATCTCGGATACCCAGATCCAGCGGAGCACCGCGTTGACCTGATCCAGACCCGTCATCTGGGTGATGTCGAGTGTGCCGCCAGAGTCATAGAGACCTGTTCAAGTCAGCCCCAACTCTCTTTCTTCTCTCCTATCTTCTTCACCCATCGTCGGGCCCGCAGTGGTCACCTACCATACATGAAGACCGCCGTGTATGCGTAGAATAGAGACAGGCCGGCTAGGGTTAGGAAGTCGTCGGCCGCGAACTTATTTTGCGTGCGAGACTTGCTGACAAACCGCAACACCACCGCCACCGTGGCCACGAAGGCCATGATGGGGTAGGCGATGAAGATGCCTTTGCCGCTTTCCGTCAACACGGTCATTGTTTCTTTGGTGTAGAGAACAGGATACACGACTGGTAGGGGTCAAAGTAAGCTCAGATACCTAGTGTAGGTACCAAGTAGTCGTCCAACGATACTGTCCGTGCGGGAAGGCGTCGACTAAGAACTGGGCAAAAAGCACCTCGAGACTGGGGGGTGGTGAAAGAGGTAAGGGCGAAGCCACATAATTATGAGTTTGCAACTGGACCCGTTAAAGATCGGATGCCGGGGAGGAGGCGCGTGGCGCGTATCATGTAATATGGAAGAGAACAAGTCCAGTATTTCCGAAACGAAGGACACGCTGTGCCTCAAGATGCGCCCCCCCCAGAAAGAGGGAAGAGTGGGGGAAAGGGAAGTGGGAAAGACGATGTTCCCAGTTCCCCAGCAAAATGGAAGCAAGAGTGCAACAGCAACCGCAAGTCAGTTGCAACAGACCACGATCGCGCCTGCCCCCGGATGCCCGAAGGGACCGAGGAATGCCGCAGAGGTGCGTTTCCACCCAAACCTCACGTCTAGGCTCCCACTTCTCCCACCCGACTGACCTCGACCTCACCCACATCCCGTCTTGGACAAGAGTCGCTCCTCCCCCCTCTCACTCTCACCTATCTTTGGCCCGGCCGCTTCGGGCTTGCAGCGGCTGAGCCTTCAACGGACTCCTCGTATGGTAACACTGATACCCCCCCACGGGTTGCAACGGAGGGGTGCAACACGCTGCAACTGACTGCAGCAAATAGGAAGGTGGGGCATCGGACCGACCTGGCTTCTTCTTGCCTGTCTTTGCCTGTCTTTGCCTTTGCATCCAATGATCCATCGCTTGGGAACTGAACCCCTGTCCGTGTTGTCGTCGTCACAGTCGTCCAGTGCTCTTTCCCTCTTTCCCTCTATTTATTGTCGGCTGGAACCTAGAACTGCGAAGGAGGCTGTGACCGCTGATCGCAGGGCGCTGGACGGGGTCCAGGTCCAGCCAGGTCCGATCCGATGTGAGGATTGCATTGTCTGCGGGAGTGGCTTCAATGGGAGGATCCCATTTGCTGGTCGTTTGTTGGTGGGCAGGTATTTTTGCTGGCCGGTGGTTTTTTCTGCGCCGCATGCAGCGACACCCACCCCTCCTACCTAGCCCCTCTGCTCCTTCCCCGATAGTGTCAGCGGCACTCCATTTCTGGCCGGCGACTTCCCTCACTCTCCAGAGTCCCCACTGCACAACGCCGAAAACTGTTGCGGTTTTCTTTTCTTCCTTGATTATTCCCCCCGAAACCACAATGACTCGACAAGCAATTCCCGCCGATTGTGGACTGCAACGGGTGCAATCACGCCCTTCCCCCATGCGGTCGGTTCGATCCGCTCAAGTCTGAGACAAATCCCCCAGATTTCTCCCGGCTCCTTTCTTTCAACTCCCTGCTCTCAACGTGGCATTGGTCATGCCTCTCGAGTGAATGCTATCAACTCTCAATTCCGCGGAGCCCCGGTCTCTTTCCCCATGGCGATACTACTATAGCCGCGTGCGTTATGGTGTGCATCTCAGCGCAGGCCTTCGGCACGGTGGACGGAGCGCCCTCCGGCAACGCCGCAACGGTTTTCTGGGCATTTGGTCCTCGCAGATTGCCTGCCCGATAGGTTGAAGGGGGTAATAATCGGCTAGCCGTGGCCGGTATAGCTTCCCAAGTCTGGCCACACTATTTTTATGGTTGTCCCCTCAAGGTGCGCGTCCTGGTGTCCGAATGAAGGCATGTCAGCCCTGTACCACCCATCGCGGCAGCCCGCGGGTAAGCTTAATCTCTTCCCGTCCGCCACAGCCTCTGTGGGGACCAGGTAAACCCGACTTCCAGCAGTAATTAAGAAAAGAGCCGAACCCACTCACCAGAGTCACCACAACAAGCCCACGCCCTCGACACCCTCAATTCCAAAGGTCCGCCGGCTGTCTTACCCCACAACCAACCATAATCCGACCGCCGACTTGCCTGTTCTCGGCAGCATCGTATTTAGCTCCAAACATGCGACTTGGTCGGGTTGGATTCGATGGGGCCTTCGCCTCAGAGGGCCGCGCTCGCGGTTGGTGGTTGCGCATGGCTCTCCACCGGCGACGTGATTCGTCCAAGCGAATGCTACGATCAACGGGGCGGTAAAGTCGGCGTGCGGCGCGGCTCGGGAATGGCTTGCGTCTCCCGATGGCGCTGGTGCAAACGCCCTGAATGCGACAAAACGGTATCGCAAAACGGAGACTAACGGACCGTATTAGACCATCAACAGGCTCACTTCCAGTTACATACGCTAGTAATAGGCTCGACAGGGTAGGATGAGTGAAAGGCCCTCCAAGATGACCAAGACACTGGTGAGCACACCGGCCGCTGGCTGTCCTTTTCCGTTCGGCGCCGGAATCCTTCTGGGCGCTCCCAATCCCAATGCGGTGGTTCGGTCGAAGACCCATTTCCTTGTCGCCGAGCGGCCGAGATCACCGCGTCACTGGTGCATTGGCTGCTACTGTGTCGTGTCCTATTTGCACAGAGGTACACCGTCGCCCGTGGGGGAAGGAGACTGTGTTGGAGGCGTGTGTGTGATGCTGGGAAGGTTGCCCCTATCACAGGGTGATAGGAACCGGTTTGTGTTTGGAATTTATGGATGCCTTGAGTGACGGGTAGGTTCTAAACGAGTTGTCTTTGAGTTCAAAAACACGGCTTCTGTCCTGGGATGTCCTGAGAGACGATGCAGGGGAGTCAATGGTTATTCGCCGAGGCTTTGCGCACGAGTGATACCCACAACTGATACTACTACTGATACTACTTTTGATACCCACAACTACATCACAACATGCCGTCAGCACTACCGACGGGAACTCCGAACGAAGCAGCCATGGACACTTATTCTACCAATGGTGTTAATGGTGTGAACGGCGTCAACGGCAACGGCGTCAACGGAACACACAATGGCTTGGTCAACGGCGGAACCAATGGCCACAGTAGCCACAACCACAGCAATGGTCACAGTAACGGCCATAGCAACGGCCACATCATAGGTCACAACAATGATCATACCAATGATCAGACCAATGGTCACACCAATGGCCACCTCAACGGCCATAGCAATGGCCACAGCGACTCCCCCTCAGTCCCGGGCTCACCGTCCCCGGCCGAGCCCGTGGCGGTCATCGGCATGTCCATACGGTTCCCAGGAGAAGCGACCTCACCGGAGGCGTTCTGGGACATGCTGGTGGAAGGGCGGTCTGCGTGGAGTGAGATCCCGGCGAGCCGCTTCAACGTGGATGCGTGGTACCATCCGAATCCAGACCGGATCGATGCTGTATGTATATGACTTTGTGAGAAACACATACGAGTGGCAAGAGGCATACTGACAATGACAGATGAACGTGAGGAGCGGACACTTCATCAAGCAAGACCCAGGCGTGTTTGACGCTCCCTTCTTCTCCATCTCGCAGTCCGAGGCCAACAGCCTGGACCCGGACCAGCGGATCATCCTAGAGACGAGCTACCACGCGCTGGAGTCGGCGGGCTTACCGATGGAGTCGCTGGCGGGCACCAACACATCAGTGTACATGGGCACGTTCACGCGCGAGTACGGCACCTTCTGGGCGCGCGACCCGATGCGGCTGCCTAAGTACGCGGGCACGGGGACAGGCCCGGCGCTGCTAGCGAACCGGGTGTCGTGGTTCTACGACCTCCGCGGCACCAGCATCACGCTAGACACGGCGTGCAGCAGCAGCATGAACGCGCTGCACCTCGCCTGCGAGTCACTGCGAGCGGGCACGACACACACCGCGCTCGTCGGCGGCACCAACCTGATCCTCAACCCGGACTCGGCCATCATCCCGCTAACTAACCTCGGGTTTCTCTCCCCCGACGGCCGGTGCTACGCCTTCGACCACCGCGCCAACGGGTACGCGCGCGGTGAAGGGTACGCGATGCTGGTGTTGAAGCGGCTGGCCGACGCCGTGCGCGACGGCGATACCATCCGCGCGGTGGTGCGGGCCACGGGTGCCAACCAGGACGGCCGCACGCCGGGCATCTCGCAGCCGCGGGCCGAGGCACAGGCCACGCTGATCCGGGAGACGTATGCCAAAGCCGGGTTGCCGTTGAGCGAGACGCGGTTCTTTGAGGCGCACGGCACGGGCACGGCGGTCGGGGATCCGATCGAGGCGTCGGCAATTGCAAAGGTGTTTGGCCCGTCGCGGACGGTGGAGAGTCCGTTGTATGTTGGGGCTGTCAAGTCGAATATTGGGCATTTAGAGGGGGCGAGTGCGATGGCGGGGTTGGTGAAGGCGATCTTGGCGCTGGAGCACGGGGTGATTCCACCGAATATTAATTTGGAGCGGGTGAATCCTAAGATTCCGGTGGATGAGTGGCATATTGCGTTTCCGACGGAGCCGATTCCGTGGCCAAAGGCCGGGGACTCGGCGGATAGCAATGGGATTGCGGTGCGTCGGGCGTCGGTCAGCTCGTTTGGCTACGGCGGTGCGAATGCGCATGTGATTCTGGATGATGCTGCTAGTTATCTTGCGGCGCGGGGACTCAAGGGGAAGCACAGGACCTTGGTTACTAGGAGAGTCCAAGAAGTCCAGGAAGACCAAACATCAACCAACGGATCTGACACCGATGAAACTCACAACCGACTCCTAGTCTTCTCAGCAGCCGACGAAGACGGCATCCGCCGCCTCAGCGAGACCTACACCTCCTACCTCGCCACCTACCTGTCCAAACCCTCAGCCACCTCCCCCCTCACCCTCTCCGAACTCGCCTACACCCTCTGCACCAAACGCTCCCTCCTCCCCTGGAAAGCCTACGTGCTCGCCCCATCCCTAACACACCTCCACAACACCCTCCAAGCCACGGGTCTCCCCAAACCCGTCCGCTCCTCCACCGCAGCCGCCAGCCTCTCGGGCACGCCAGGTTTGGCGTTTGTGTTTACCGGCCAGGGCGCCCAGTGGGCTGCTATGGGTAAGGAACTGAGGGCGTACCGCGTGTTTGGGGAAAGTCTGCGGCTGGCGGAGGAGTATCTCAAGGGGGAACTGGGGTGTGAGTGGTCTGTTGCTGAGGAACTCTACCCTGAGGAGAACTCTGAGGAAGACTCTTCCGAAACGAAGACTCAGATCGACCGTCCGGCTCTCGCACAGTGTCTGACGACAGTGGTGCAAGTAGCGCTAGTCGAGTTGCTGCGCACATGGGGGATCGTGCCCGCGGCTGTGGTGGGTCATTCGTCTGGGGAGATTGCGGCTGCGTATGCGGCGGGGGGGCTGTCGCGGGAGTCGGCATGGAAGGCGGCGTATTATCGGGGGGTGTTGGCGGGGAAACTTGAAAGCACTCTCCGGGCTGAAAAGGGGACCGAGGGAGGTAGTGGCAGCGGGTGGGGGATGATGGCTGTGGGTATGAGTGAAGCCGGAGTTCAAGAATATCTAGCGAGGCTGGACAAGACCAAGGGGGAGGTGACGGTCGGGTGTGTCAACGCACCGGAGAATGTCACCGTCACGGGCGCCTCCAAAGGGTTGGCGGCGTTGCAGGTGCTGCTGGAAGAGGACGGAGTGTTTTGTCGCCGGCTGAGGGTCACACTGCCGTATCACTCGCGGCAGATGGAGGCTGTCGCGGAAGAGTATACCGCTGCGCTGCAGGGGATTGTCTCGGGCCTCGCTGCCACATCTAACAGCGAACCCGGCCGTGAGCAGGAGAAACAACCCACGATGTACTCCTCGGTAACGGGCGCGGCGGTATCAGACGTGTCCTCGCTCAGCGAGCCTCAATACTGGGTCGCCAACCTCGTGTCGACGGTGCGGTTCGCCGAAGCAGCCGGGGCGTTGGTCGCGGCTACGGGGATTGAGAGGTTTGTTGAAGTTGGGCCTACGGCTGCTCTTAAGAGGCCGGTTCAGGATGTTGTCAAGGCCAGCCGTCAGAGTACAACAATTCCTGGAAAGGGGGCTGTGGCATACCACTCGGTGCTCTACCGTGACCAGGATGCGTCTGTTTCGGCGCTGGATATGGTCGGGCAGTTATTCTGTAGCGGGTACCCGGTTGATTTGGCGGCTGTTAACTCTGTTTCTTCTTCTCCTTCTTCTCTGGGGGGAACTGGAGAAGGGAGTGAGAAGAAGATTGGCATGGCCGTGGGCCTGCCTGCGTACCCGTTCAACCATGCGAAGCGGTACTGGGAGGAGAGCCGGATTAGTAGGAATCTGCGGTTTAGAAAGTTTCCGCGGCATGAGCTGTTGGGCACGCGCGAGGCGGACTGGAACCCGCTGGAGCCAAGGTGGCGTAACTTTTTGAGGGTGTCGGAGAGTTCGTGGATTGTTGAGCATGAGGTATTTCTCCTTTTCCCTTCCCTTCTTTCTGTTTTTTTTATACGTTTTTTTCTTTTCTTTTTTGTCTGCGTTCTTTTGCTAACAAGAGTAGTTCAACGGCTCTCCCATCTACCCCGCCAGCGGCATGATCGTCATGGCCATCGAGGCCGCCCGACAAATCGCCAGCCCGCCTCCCGACACGGCCATCAGCGGGTTCCGCATCCGGGACATGACCCTCAAGAAAGCCCTGATGGTGTCGACCAGTGCCGAGGGCGTCGAAACGCAGCTGACCCTGCGCCCGAAGAAGACCACGGGCACGGCTTCCCACGATGCCAGCGTCTTTACTCTGTACCAACTGACCGGGCCCGGCGACGAGTGGACCGAGCTGTGCAATGGGACAGTCATCACGGAGTATTCCCAACCCCAGAGCCAGCAGCAGCAGGCTGAGGTAGAACAGCCCGAGACAGCCCTCGCCCACAAAGCCCAGGAACTCGCCTTCCAAACGGGCGCTGCGCGATGTCAGAAACGCGTCGACACGCGGCAGCTGTACGAGAGTCTAGGCGGGATGGGCTTCAAGTTCGGCCCGGCCTTCCAGACGCTGCACGATGTGCGGTTCAGCGACGAGGGTGAGGCGCTCGCGACCATCCGGCTGCGCGAGTGGGAAGGGAAAGTCAAGGACAACCGCGTGCAGCCGCATGTGATTCACCCGGCGCCGCTGGACGGGGTGTTCCATCTAGCTATTGTCGCGTCGACTAAGGGGGGGTGGAATGCCGTTCCTACGAGTGTGCCGACGGCGCTGGAGGATTTGTGGATTTCCAATGACCTGTTTTCTTCTTCCCCCGAGACCGCCATGGGGGTGTACACGCAGCGGCAGTTCGCCGGCCTGCGAGACGAAGAATACAAGATGGTAGCCGTCGACTCCGAGTCCGGCCAGCCGCGGATCGTAGTCAACGGCTACCGCGGAACAACCATCAGCTCCTCACGCGAGGGCGCAGCCGCGGGAGGGGACGAAGTACCCGACGGCGAAGACCCCTCGCGGCGGATCTGTTACGAGATGCACTGGCAACCAGACGTGGCTCTGCTCTCCCCGGCGGAAATCCGCGACCTGTGCATCCACCGCGAAATGCAGAAGAACACACCCGAGTACCAGCGGGCCGTGCACTACGCTGAGATTTTGTGTTTACATCACATGCGGGAGGCCCTTACCAACAACCCGGACCTGACCGCGCCCCCGGACCGGCCGCATCTTGCGCGGTATATCGCCTGGATGCGCCACAACCTCGCCCTGCCGTCGTCCCAGGCCCGGTTGGCGTCGCCCGAAGCGGTGGAATTCATCGCCGCTACCCCGGAACAACGCACGGCGTTGCTCACTGCAGTCACCACCGCCCAGTCATCTACCGACGGGGAAACCGACCAAAAGCCCGCGGAAACAGGCTACGACCTCTACGCAACCGTATCCGCCCACTTCCCCGGCATCCTCTCGGGCGCCGTCGACCCACTATCCCTGCTCTTCAACGCCGACACCCAGCTAGTAGCACGCTTCTACCAAGCCGACTTTTTGGCGGCCAACTATGCGCAGATGGCTGCGTATATGGACCTGTTAGCGCACAAGGACGCCAATATGCGGGTGCTGGAGGTCGGTGCTGGCACGGGGGGTGCGACGGTGGGGATTTTGGAGACGTTAGCCAGACATGGCGGTGACTCTCAGGGCAGTGAGGGAGGGGAGAAGGGCGCGCCGAGACTGGCCGAGTATGTGTATACCGACGTGTCGGCGGCGTTTTTTGAGAGTGCGCGGGAACGGTTTGCGCCGCTTGTGGGGGGGGAGAGGTTGACGTTCAAGACGCTGGATATTGAGGGGGATTTGGCCGCTCAGGGGTTTTTGAAGGGTGGTGAAGACGACCAGAGTCAAAAATACGACGTTGTCGCAGCCGCCAACGTTCTCCACGCCACCAAAGACCTAGGCGTCACCGTCCGGAATGTACGTCGACTGCTCCGCGACGGGGGCAAGCTGGTGTTGTTTGAGGTGACGGATCTTGAGAGCGCGCGTATCACGTTTGCGTTTGGAACACTGCCGGGTTGGTGGTTGGGTAATGGGGGAGATGGGGATGGACGGCAGTGGGGGCCGTTGTTGTCGGTGGAGGGGTGGGATCGGTTGTTGAGGGAGTGTGGGTTCTCGGGGGCCGAGGTGGTTATGGGGGATGTGGAACGGGGAGCGTCGTTTAGTGTTATTGTTGCTGAGGCTGTTCCGTTGGTGGGGGGGATTCCAAGGGGAATTACGGGAGGAGAGAACTTAGAGGAGAAGGAGAAGGCAGTGGCAGTGGCAGTGGCCGAGAAAGAGAAGGACAAACTGGTCATCGTGGTGGACGAAGACCAACCTCTCCAACTAGCGGTCGCCAACGCCCTCGCCAACGCCCTCGCCAACGCCCTTCCCCAGACCCCAGGGACAGTGGTCGTCCCCCTCACGCACCTTGCCAACCACCCTCTCGACCGCGCATCCTGCATCTTCCTCCCCGAACTCACCCGCTCTCTCCTCGCCCACGTCACCCCCTCCGAGTTCGAGACCCTCCGCCAGCTAGTCTGCCGCGCCTCCCGCATCCTCTGGGTTACCCTCGGCGGTGCAGAGTCCTCCGACAACCCGCTGTCTGACCTGGTTGTTGGGTTCGGTCGGTCCATGTGCTCGGAGCGGCCGCTTGAGTTGCAGTTTTGCACGTTGGCTTTGGAGGGAACTTCCGAGGACAACAGCAGCAACGCGGTAGACACCATCGTCAAGGTCTTTGGGAAGCTATCCGCGCAGCCTGTGTCGGCGCCGTTTGAGACGTATTACCTCCAGCGTCGCGGGCTTGTGTGTGTTGGTCGGCTGGTCGAGGCGGGGTATTTGAATGAGCATGTGCGCGATCAGACGACGGCGCAGTCGCCGCGGCCGGAGCCGTTTTCGGGTGTGACGGATGTCGTGGCGGATGCCGTGGCTGGTACCGTCACGGATACAGAGAAGCAGACTGAGAAACAGCCAGAGAAGCAGACAGACCGCGCCCTCGGCCTCAAAATAGGCTCGCCCGGCCTGCTAGACACCTTCTACTTCGCCCACGACTCTGTCCACGAAACCCCCCTAGCCCCCGGCGAAGTCGAAGTGCGCGTGCACGCTTCCGGGCTCAACTTCAAAGACGTCATGGTCGCCATGGGCCAACTACCCTTCCCAACCATGGGTCTCGAGTGCGCGGGTGTTATTACACGGTTAGGACCTCCCCCCGAATCCACTACCAGCAACTGCACCAGTAACAACACCGCCAACCCTAACCCTACCCCCATCGACACAACCGGCCGCTACAGCACCGGTTTCGCCAACGGCTACTCCGACCTCCACATCGGCGCCCGCGTCGCCTGCTTCGCCCACAACGGCTCCTTCAAGACCTACGCCCGCGCCACTGCCGCCCTGGTCGCGCCTATCCCGGACTCGCTGTCCTTTACCGAGGCCGCGACGCTTCCCGTAGCTTTCCTGACTGCCTACCACGCACTTGTTGAGAACGCCCGGCTTGAGCCCGGGGAATCGGTTCTTATCCATGCTGGTGCCGGAGGTGTAGGCCAGGCGGCGGTGCAGTTGGCGTTTATGTTGGGGGCTGGCGAGGTGTTCGTCACGGTGAGTACGGAGGCGAAGAAGAAGTTGCTGGTTGACGAGTACGGCGTAAACCCAGACAACGTATTCTCCAGCCGCAAGCTCAGTTTCGCCCAAGGCATCCTGCGCCGCACCTCCGGCCGCGGCGTGGACGTAGTCCTAAACTCCCTGGCCGGCGACGTCCTGCGGGAATCGTGGGCGTGTGTGGCCACCATGGGCCGGTTTGTGGAGATTGGGAAACGAGATATCATTGCTAATGAGGCGCTGGCGATGGGGAAGTTTGGGAAGAGCACGACGTTTGCGGCGTTGGATTTGGATCTGGCGGCGAGGTTTAGGAGTGGGAGGGTCGGGGGGATGTTGAGGGAGATTGTGAGGTGGGTTGGGGAGGGGAAACTCAGGGCCCAGGTGCCGTTGCATGTGTATTCGGTTGGGGAGGTGGAGAATGCGTTTAGGGGGTTGCAGAGTGGGAAGTTGGCGGGGAAGGTGGTGGTGGAGATGGATGATACCGTCGTCCCAGTAAGTATCTCTTTTTCTGTTTTTTTCGCTTTTTTCTTTTACTATTTCTGAAGGTTGACTTACACGTACAAAAGGTCGTCCCCCGCCCCAAACTCCCCTACCAGTTCGACCCCCACGCCAGCTACCTCCTCTCCGGCGGCCTCGGCGGTCTCGGCCGCAGCATCGCCCGCTGGATGGCCTCCCGCGGCGCCCGCTTCCTCATCCTCCTCTCCCGCTCCGGCCTCGCCTCCCCCGCCGCCCAGTCCCTCGCGTCCGAACTCGCCCAGCTCGGCGTCCGCGTGGCCGCACCCGCCTGCGACGTCTCCGACCCAACCGCCCTCGCCTCCGCCCTGTCCTACTGCTTCGGTACCGAGAAATTCCCCCCCATCCGCGGCTGCATCCAAGGCGCCATGGTCCTGCGCGACAGCATCATCGAAAACATGACCCACGCCGACTACCACGCCGCTCTGCGTCCCAAAGTCGCCGCCTCCTGGAACCTGCACGCCCAGCTTCCCCAAACCCCGGGCTCCCTCGACTTCTTTGTGTTGCTTTCCTCCCTCGGCGGCGTCATCGGCAACAGCGGCCAGAGCAACTACGCCGCGGGTAACACCTACCAAGACGCCCTCGCCCGCCACCGCCACGCCCGCGGCCTGCCCGCGTCGGCCCTGGACGTGGGCATGATGATGCAGGTTGGGTTTGTAGCGGAAAAGGCCAAGATTGCGGAGAGCTTGATCATGGCGGGGTATACCGCCATGTACGAAGCGGAATTACTCGCTATCCTTGGGTTCCTATGCGATCCCCACCAGCAGCAGCAGAACTCTCCTATCAAAAACAGCAGCCCCCTCCGCAGCCAGATCTTGACGGGTGTCACCACCCAGGGTGTATTCCGCCGCAAAGGCTTCGAAGAAAAAAACTGGATGGCCCGTCCCGAATTCAACTACCTCCGCCAACTCGACTCTTCCACCTCCTCCCCATCCAACCCCAATTCCTCCTCAGACCCCTCCACCCAATCAATAAACTACGCCACCGCCCTTCCCCCCCTCACCTCCCTCTCCGAAGCCACCGCCCTAGTAGAAACAGGCCTCATCCGCAAAATGTCCAAAGCCCTGTTCATCGCCGAACAGGATATCGATCCCGCGTTGCCGGTGTATGCGGCGGGCGTCGATAGTCTAGTGGCAGTGGAATTGAAGTATTGGTTTTTGAAGGAGTTGCATGCGGAGGTGGCGGTGTTTAATATTTTGGGGGGGGGGACGTTGAGGGG